TTTGGAAATCTCAGGATCAAGTGCTTCAGAGCCCTCTACTGGCCGCTACGCACCACTGCAACCTCGTTTTGGTTCATTCTTGACAACAGCAATCTCCCTGAAAATATCTTCCTCCACCAAGGATGAGAAAGAGGGCAGCTTTCACGGCACCGTGCTAAACGCCACATAAGTGCAAACAATGTCCTAGAGGTGAGAATTTATACAGTTTAAAAAAAAATGTTTTCAACTCTGCCACACATAATGTGGCAAATTTGAAAAATGTTAATAAACCACCACCAATCAGGGCCAAATTCAAGACAACTAACTCCAAAGATGCGTTAAAGGACACTGACTACAGTAAAATGAACTTTTCATAAATTTTATTTTCAATTTAACAAGTCAGGAAAAGATATAAACTTAAATTTTTTCAATTAAAAAAAAGTAAACTTTCAATGGGTGAAGACAGAAAAAATTCCTAGATCAGCAACTTGTGATTTCCTCATGTATCTTATTCATGTCTATCAGTTTCAAAAACACTTTACTTAGATCTCTGCCTCACCTTTCTTCTCTTTTGCTTTGGCCTAAGACATCAGAATGCATGCTCTAGAACAAAAATTTGGGGGGAGGAGGCATAAATTGTTAACAAGAATGAAATCATACCAAGTATCTTTACCAACCACAATGGAATGAAATGACAAATCAGTAACAGCAGGAAAACTGGAAATGTCACAAAAATGTAAAAACTGAACAACAAAATACTGAACAACTAAAAGATCAAAGAAGAAATCACAAGAGATTTAAAAAAAAAACAAACCTCGAGATAAGTGAAAATGTAAACACAACGTATCAAATTTACGGAGGCAGTGAAAGAAGAATTAAGAGGGAAGTTCATAGATATAAATATGCACATTAAAAAAGATCTCAAATCAATAACCTAACTTTATACCTCAAGGAAACCGAGAAACGCAAAGTGAGCAGATGTAATGAAATAATAAATATTAGAGCTGAGATAAACAAAATAGAGAATAGAAAAACAATAGGGAAAAAAAAATCCAATGAAACGAACGGTTTTCTGCCACAGCTGGGGGTTTGGGGAAGCAGGTGCAGGCCGCCCGGGCATCCCTGGGGGCAGGAGCCACCTGCTCTGTCCAGGGGCTCTCACTGTTGTCAGCTGAGGCCCAGCCGTGGTGGGTGGGAGCTGCCGTGCTTACAGCTGCAGGATGCAGTTTGCTGGATCCTCTTCAGGGACCCTGTGAAAAGTGGGAGCAACTAGTAACAGAGCCCACCTGGAGATGGACTCAGCTGTTCCCTGCTGGGCAAGGGCTGAGCTTTCTTGAGCGCCCTAAGGGAACACAGAAGAACTGAGGAAAAGGAGATGAACAGAAAAGGCCAGGCCCCTCCTGGGTGAAGTGAGCCCAAGGATTTAGCAACCCCCTTTCTTAGATCTATAGTTAGTTAGTTAGTTAAGTCGCTCAGTCGTGTCCGACTCTTTGCGACCCCATGGACTGTAGCCCACCAGGCTCCTCCATCCATGGGATTCTCCAGGCAAGAATACTGGAGTGGGTTGCCATTTCCTTCTCCAGAGGATCTTCCCGACCCAGGGATCGAACCCAGGTCTCCTGCATTGCAGGCAGACGCTTTAACCTCTGAGCCACCAGGAAAGCCCTTCTTAGATCTATAGAGAAGGGTTATTTATTAGAGAAAGGCTTCGATTCTCCCAATAGAAGGAGGACAGAATGAACAGAGGGCAACACAGCTGGGCCCAGGCTAGGCTTAGGCACCAACTCCTATCTCCTTTTGTTAATTTCCCCAAGCAGATTCAAAACAAAGTGAAGTTGATTCTCAGTTTATTGTAAGTCCTCTTTTTACAGTGTTAAGTCTCCAAAAGGTCAAGGCAGTTTTATCTCTTAAATAACATGTCAATCATATAAAACAGCCAGAACCAAAGTAGAGAAATATATACAATATAATACACTAAGTATTTTCAATATTGTTAATTGGATTTTTCATATTAAATTAAAAGAGGCTATTCTGATTTACAATGTCATTTCTCTCATTAAAATTAAACCTGTCAAAGACATAATGTACATTTTTCTTTTACAAAACCAGCACAGCAGCATTAATAAAACTGCTCATGATTGTAATTTTTATTTTTCTATAATACAGCTGCACCCGTGTTACAAAAACAAACAAAGAAGGCATTGCACTAGATGGTTTGAATACTGCTTAAGTCAGTATGTTAACACTTGAGGAATAATGAATGGCCTAGTCTGTTTTACCATCAGGCTCATTCACAAGGGTTTGTACTCGGCTAGCTAAAGCAAACTTTCTGTAGGTAGATAACTTTCCTCAGCAGTTTTATATAAGTCCACCATTAATGGGTAAAAAGCCAAGGAGAAGTTAATGCCACAGAAACCAATACAACCCTACTATTTACAATACCAAATAAAAGCCAAAGCTAGAAAACCACTCACTTGCTGAATCAAGAGAACAATTATAAGTAGGACATTCTGTATGAAAATTTGAGTATCTATAAATTTAAAACATTCAATAGACTACAAAAAGGCTTGCAACAGTTTATTCCCCTTATTTTTCTCAGGCTTGGGTAAAAAAGAAAAAAAGGAAAAGGAAATCCTTTATATTTTTAGTTCTGATGGCATTAAAACAGTTTATATCTGTAGGTAAGATTTTTATACAATGCAACATGTTTACATAGCTTTCTTGTGCTACTATCAACTATTCTCAGAATTTGTTTTCTATGCTACAGAAGGAAGTATTAAGATTCCTTCCTCATTCTTAACTTTTCAGCATCAAGGTTCTCCAGGCCTCGACGGGGAATTCAACAGAGGTAAACAGTCACTCAGTGCCTAACACTGAGGATACAGTATTTGAAAAGCCTTATGTATCTGGTAGTGGCCTAAATAAGAGCAGCAAGAGGCCAGGTATATACAATTCTACCACTCATGACAAATTAAGTTTTATATTTTCCCTTCATTAACACAGTTTTAAATGGACAGACCACCCTTGCAAGGAAACAAGTATTGCTTCAGATTAAATTACATTGGAATTTTTTAGCCACAAAAATACCTAAGCAACAGCAGTACTTAAAAAAATAATAATAATAATTGGTTCTTCAAGTCAAGGGCAAGGAAACCAAAATCAAGAAGACGCATTATTGTCAAGACCTATCCCAATGGAGCACTCAAGCTGTACATGTGGTATTGAGACCAAAACAGAGAAATAATCTGATTGCATCTAGGGGAAGACACCTGCTCCTGGAAGTGTTCCTGACTAGAGGTGTGAGCAATGGACAGGGTAAACAACCCTAAGTATCCTGACACACACAAAAATAAACAGAGATGTAAGACATGTTTATATTCGAAATGAGATGCAGTATCCACTGTTCCTGGACATGAGAGGAGTGAATATCTCCACATCTTCCAGTCCTGGACTGGTCTTTGACATCAAAACCAACATCAGGACTTTGTATTGTTCGAAAGGCACACCGTATGTTTAAAAAAAAAAAAATGCTTGTCATCAGATCAGTCGAAGTCCTTGGTCAGCTTGTTTCTAACGCAAACCATGTCTCTAATAAGCACCAAACACCAAACTAATGCTTTCATTTTCTCAAGTAAACTTTCCAAAATATTCCTATTTCATAAATTTAAGTCTCTGTAACTGGAATGTATCCAGACTTTTTCTTATTATGTGACCGTTGCAAAACAAACATGCTACTATGGGAAGCCTGACAGAGTGGAAACCTTAAAATGTTATAAATCCCCAAATTAGCCTTATTATGGAAAGAAGCCAAGAGAAAGTGTCTGGGGTTGTGTTGTTAGCCATAGTTTAGTACTTCTGATCACTTTTTAGACAAACAAAAACTATTAAACAAGGAGTTTCTTACTAAGAATACCTTATTTCTTAACATTTCTCAACAGTCAGAACTGGCCTAGAAATTCATACAGAAAGTCAGAGAACAAGGATGTCCATACGGGAAACATCTCAGTTTTACAGATGCTCCATGAATCACGAGTTACCCTCCAGTATACTGTAGTCCACCACAGGCCCTTTACCTCTACAGAGAGCAGGCGAGTACTTCCCTTGCTCAATGTCTGGGAGCAGGCCTAAATTTTCTTTTTAGATTAAAAATAATCTTCCATTACTAATTATCCCTTTTGGGATTTAGTCATTTTAGACTCATTTAGTAATATCTCCCTGAAGGTGGGAGAAAAACCTAAACTATGAGCATGTGCAGACAAGTGCAGTTCTGCATATTACTTGCACAAAAGTTATAAACAGACTTAAAAAACAGCTCCAGAAAAAGGCCTGAAGTTAATGGCTGTGGCCTCCTGTCACCCACAGACAAGAAGTGACAGAACTTGAAAAATATCAAACATCCTTGAAAACAGGGCAAGATACAGAACAGGAGAGGATTCCCAATTTAAGTCAAATTCCTCAGCAGAAGAAGAACAGCTTGCATCCATCTGTTTAACTGGCCACTGATAGAATAATTCAGAATTGTTTTAAAGTTTCAGAAATTCTGATAATAGGCAAACATTAAATTGTTACATAAGAAACACAAGAAAAATTCACCAGCTCTACCAATCCTTTCCAGATAAAGAATGTATCCAATGTGAGGCCAGGAGGCTCACTATCTATGAGACACTGTTTGCTTAACGGGATTGTCAGCAAACATGACAAACCATTGTTCAACCGATCTCATCTCCAACCATACGTTTGTCCTCAGCCCTTTGAAATGAATCTAAATTTCAGCTTATGTGAACAAAATATTTGTGCAATTTCCCAGCCCACAGATAGCTAACTTGTGGGTATTAAAAACCAAACTGCAAATCCATGGAGTTTCAACCCTTCAGCTATAGATGGCCTAGCCAACCTCAGAACTGAAAGGCCTCTGCACACTGTGGTGAATGTGACGAAGAAATAAAACATGTGGCTGACTTGCGGTCCTCTGGTTCCAGGGCCCCTCTCCTCCTGGCCCGTTTCAGAGCACGTGCTTCATCTCAGCAGTTCAGACCCAAGCCTGTCCAGTGGTCTGGCACCATCAGGAAATACTTGTCCATGGCTTCACAGAATCTAGTCCTGTACAACTCCGGGGAGACCACGGTCGGCATTTTACCTGGGAGTACAAAAGCACAAAGGGAAAAAAGGAAGCTGTTACGTAACTGACCCGATCACTGACTTTGACAGCTATGTTCTTTCATGTAAACGAACATAAAATGCCATGTCCTATAAACACACACACTAAGAAGGGCTCAGAAAAAAGGGAGGGAGCTCATTGTGCGACATGACAAGGGACAGGTCCTTCCTGGTAGAGCTTTTTTATTTTAAAAGACGCTCTCGCCTAGAAATGAGAGAGGTCTGAGCGCACACCTGGTGCTCTCACTGCTCAGAGAACGTAAAGGATGTCAAGCGTTACATCAGGACAACCTCCTGTTCAGGAACTCTGGCCCTTCTTTCCTTTAACTTTTCATTTTGAGACCCTCTGGTTTCTTAAGAGTTTCCCAGATAATGCAGTGGTAAAGAGTCCACCTGCCAAAGCAGGAGGCACAAGAGAGGTGAATTTGATCCCTGCGTTAGGAAGATTCCCTGGAGTAGGAAATTTCAGCCCACTCCAGTGTTCATGCCTGGAGAATTCCATGAACAGAAGAGCCTGGCGGGCTACAGTCCAGGGGGTCACCAAGAGTCGGACACGACTCAGCATGTAGCAGGCATTGCATCTTAACACATATTTAAGATCCCATATTTCCCCATTTAAACAATTCTTTTTATTATTTGATCATTTTGGAAATGATGATAAAGTCAAAGATAACCAGTTATGTTTTATCATTTTTTCTGAAGTATCCATTTGTTATATGTTAACTGATAAGGAAGATAATGAGAACAGTTTAAAGAGTAAACAGAACAAAAATTCTGCTCACCTTGTCCTCCTAAAATTCCTGTTGATTTCACAACCATCTCAAGCTTTTTGTCCCAGGTAAATGTTCGGATATAATCTGTTGCAGGGGGTGAGATTATCAGTAAAAGCTCTCTTAATAAATATAAGCAGATAACAATCAAAACTACCACTGCTATTACTTCTACATTAGTTAACACTGAGTGCTGGCAATATTCTAGGTGCAGACAATATGCCAAGGGCTGTCCTAAGGGTTTTTTACCATATTAATTCTTCCAAACCTCATAACAACCTCACAGGGCTTCCTCTTAAGTAAATTCCTGAATACAGATATTTTTGATAAAGATAATGAAAATGAAAAATCTGAATAAAAGTACTAGAACAGAACTATTATTTTTTAAATTTCAAATGAGTCTGTGAAAACATTCAATAAGCATTTACTACATCAGGTTCAGTATAGTCTTCAAAGATTACTCTGGTTTCAATCATGAACTGCACATAAGGCATGCTCATCGACCTACCTATAATTCCAACTACTAGCTCATTGCTGGTATCGTCTCGCCCAACTAGCAAAGAATAGTCTATAATGAGGTGGCTAGAAAGGAAGTGGGAGTCGCTCCGGATCGAGGCTCTCAGCACAGCTTTGGAATGAGAACGGATATACAGAGGGTTGTCTCGAACCATCTTTAAGAGATTTTCATCCAGAAGAACGACATCACAGCTCTCTTTCCCGGTATCAGTTTTTACATTTCGATTCCTAAGTGAACCCTTCAAATCAAAAACCTAGCAGAAAGAAAATTCTCTGTCATTTATGTGAGTTGCTACAAATGGTTAATTAATATAATTAAATTTCAAAGGCAGAAAGCTTCCTTGTAGCCACTATGCTTATAAACACCTTAATATTTAACTTTAAAATTTATAACTTATGTAAGTCATTGAATGCATACATTGCAATTGCATAATACAAAAAGCACATGGTGATATAACTGTATCATATGAAACTAATAACTAGGTACCCAAATATTCAAGTATGTCAGAAATATACTGACCCATTTAATCAACTGTAAGAAACATTAACAAGTAACTCCAAAAATATACTGCTGAATCATAAAGCAGTTTGAAAAACAGATGTAAACAGTCTTAGGAAATTTCAAGTTTTGATATCAAAACTGTGCAATTATATAGGGCAATGCAGAAGCAACAGCGTATTTCTAGGAATTTCTAGACAGTAGGAAAAGCAATGCTAGTCAGGGGACTTGGGAACTAGACTGGTGGAACCTGAGGTGTATTCTACAGACCACTGCTAGTCAGTTGTTCCTGACTCAAGATGAGAGAAAAGCTGGTGCTAGAATGTAAATTGATTACATCATTAAACCTACAGTTTAGCAGTTGCTTTCGTCATAGCAAGACTTTCTCAATGAAGAAAGCAGTACATTAAATTACATTCTAAAAAAAAAAAAAATACCTTCTAGTACATGCTCCTAGCTCCACAGACTGGAAACAGTTCAAAGATCAGCACATTTTGTTCTAGAATCTAGACCAACTTGAATTCTAGGAAGAGCGGTGAGACCCTGATAAAGTACTCAATTCCTCTGAGCCTCAGTTTCTTCATCTTTAAAATGGCCAGACCCATTGGATATGCCTTCTTACTCTATAATTCTGTGTTTCTAGGATATTGGTTATGTTAAATTTTAGGACCAGTCCACAATATTCCTCTTTATTCTTTCCTACAGGGTTCAGTAACTCAAAAGTTAAAGCTGACCTAGTGACCAAAGTTTAATATTTACTATCAAATACCAAGTTATTCTCTAATTCATTACGTTCAGGAACCAGAAGTACAAAGGGATCCAGCAGCTAAATACTTTGCGTGGTTCATTATCCGTACCTGTGCCATCTTTCTCCCGTAGAAAAGATTTTCCATGACAAGGAGATCTAGCTTCTTCTCAGTGTTGTTCTGAGAATTCTTATAACCAATTCTGTAAACTCCAAGAATCTTGGCCAATGCAGTAGGCCTCTAATTCAGCAAAGATAAAAGTAATCTCTTATCAAAAAGGATTATTTATGAATATTACGCTTAGTGAAGTAAGTCAGTGAAAGATAAACACTGTATGCTATCACATACATGTGAAATCTAAAAAATATAGACACGAATGTACATGCAATATAGAAACAGACTTAAGAAATATAAAACAAGCTTGTGGTTGCCAACGCAGAGAAGGAATGGGGGAGGGACAAATTTTTTCTATGAGAATAACAAACTACTCTGTACGAAACAGAAAAGCAACAAGAATATGTCATATATTAATATATAGGGAATTATAGCCATTATCATATAATAAATCATAATGAAGTATAATCTGCAAATACAAATCATTATTCTGTATACCTGAAACTAATACAATAGCACAAGTCAACTATATTTTTGTTGTTGTTGGTTTCTGCTGTGTAATTTTTTATTAGTTGGAGGCTAAAGTCAACTATATTTTAAAAAAGGATTATTTATAATTTAATATCAATATCTGGATTATTCATGTATTATCCAGACAAGATTTTCTATTAATATGATCAGGAGACCTTAAAAGAAATTCTGAATCTATAACGCAAGTAAAGCAGCAATGCCAATAAAATTATTAGATCTTTAATATTCTCCCAAGGGACAATCCTTCACAATTTCTAAAATTCACAAATTTTATCATGACATAATTTTTCCAATAAAAGGCAACAAACCCATAAATGGAAAAAAAAAATCTACATGACTCCTTCATATTCTCACTGGAAGGGTCTCTGTTTAATGACAAGTGGGCAAACTACACACACACACACACACACACACACACACACACACACACACGTAGGGAAAAGTTTGAAATCCCTGCTTTCTGCCACACCTCAAAAGCACAATTCTGTTCACTTATTACCATAGAGAAAACTGCCTTTAGGACTTTCAGGATGTGAAATGGACCAGAAAACTCTAGTTACAGATCAGGGTTTGGGTTTCTACCTTTTGCTGAACGGCATTTGTAATGTAATTGAAGTAGTGTGGTGCAAAGTCAAGAAAAGACTGGACTTCCAGACGAGGCATTTGCTTCAAAATGAATCTGTCATCTAAAAGGCAAAAATTTCATGTTTATTCAGTTGCAATATTTACTGAGGTAATCTAAAATAAATCATTCTAAGAATCCTAAATGACTTGCTCACTTCATGTTTTGAAGGGATATTTTCTAGATGATAACACTTTTGATCAGAACATAGTTCTCAAGTTGAAGGTTTGGAAGGGCTTCTGAGCAACTATATAGTCAAGAAAACTCTACATTTGACAGTTACACACCTGAAGTCATAGCTAGAAGATCTACTTTTTAAAACTACTAAGTAAAATGTTACAAACTCCTTTGTTAGCAACCCAGGAACTAACAGTTATGAAAGTGCCTATCAAGCACATCTTTCCTGATGCATTTTCTCAAGTAACTGCACTTTCAGTGAGTACGGAGAACTCAACGTGTAGTACAAATGGTCACAATCTACTGTAAACTTCTGCAGGTTAAGAACTTGGCCTTCCAGTTTTCAAGTCAAATGTTTCTATTTTTATCTCTCTCCCATCAGCTCTGAGGTACCTTGTGAGTTTTCTAGACGTTCTCTGTAACTATTTACATGTGGAAAGCTTGGGACTAGAAAGAATTTAGTAGGGATTTGATCAATGCTTGTCTTTCATTATACACTATACACCATGTATTTTTTCAACGTTCTTCTTTCATCCTCTCAAGCATTAAAAGAAAAACATGTTTGCTAAATGACACATCACATTACCTCAGTTCAAGGGATTCATAAATTACCCGAGGGAAAAAAGATGGATGCCGCTTAATTAGCAAATGGTCAAAAAGGCCTTGGAGAAGGAAATGGCAACCCACTCCAGTATTCTTGCCTGGAGAAATTCTTGCCTCCAGTATTCTTGCATGGACAGAAGAGCCTGGCAGGCTACAGTCCATGGGGTTGCAAACAGTTGGACACAGCTGAGCAACTAAACAACAGCAAAAATGCCTACCTTCAGTAGCGTAAAAGGCAGCTCCTGATTTGCCTCCTCGGGCCTGCCACGGAGAAGAGTGAGAAAGGGAACGAATGAAATCTTCTTCGCTGCTGCCCAGAATCACTTCTCGCATCTTATGAAACTCTCCCGCATAGTAGAGCCGACAGTAAAACTTGGCGTTGGCATCCGAAAATTCTATAAACAGAAATGTTTTTAGAAAAAAGCTCTTCTGAATCAGAAATATCTTTTCCTTCTTGCCCACTCCCCACCCCCACACCAAATGCAAGCATTTAATTTTCTCCATGATAGTATTTTTCATGTTAAGTCTACTACATCCCTGTTTATCACTATTCTGTTATCTTCAGGAAGGATTAAGAGAGTACCTTAGGACTACCCTTACATATTTCTAGGAAAAAAACATAAAATAAGACTTGGTTCTAATTTTATGCTGGTTACGGCATTTTCATCGTTGTATGGTTACATTTTAAATTTCATTGTATGTGTTACTATTTTGGGTAACAAAACTTGTACACACAATTCTAAGGCTCTGTGGCTCTAAATTATACAAGAACAAATTATTTAAACCTTATACATCTAGTTAAATTAAAATTTATAAATTAAATTATATTTCAATTAAATTTACAAATAGATTTCCTTTTAAATTAAATAATGTATACTTTATACACTAAATCTAGATGAAACAAACGCTCATCAGCACAAAGACTTAGTATTCATTTCAAGAGATAGGATATTTATCTAGTGTGAAGCTAGGAGCTTCAAATAATGGAGTTTGTTCAATTATAGTCCTGGGTCCCCAAACCAGAGATTTATCTCATACTTACGAAGCTCCACATGAGGATTTGTAAGTTGTTTCTTCTGTGTATCTCCTCCATCTACTTCATCTAAAAGATTTAACATCATTAGTAAAGCCAAAGCTTTAGGCAGCTATCAGCTCATTTTGTTTATTCTTTTTCCCTGATATAAACTAAAAACTAAGTCAATTAGTATTATCCTAGTCAAGCTACGCTCAAGCAAGCATCATGTATACAACTAACTGTAAATTATTATGATAAAAATGTATGCACCTTTTGAAAGATAAATTTTTAGATTAAAAATCAGAGAATTCAGATTGAAGAGTAATTTTTCTTATAGTTAAATAAACCCTATGATAGCAATAAACTTACTCAATTCTAACATCAAGACTTTCTGCAGCTATTTTACCAGAGTTTATGACCAGTTTTCCCTGTGTATAGAGTAATGTTTTCCCAATATTCTGAGATGTTTTCTTTATCGTATACTAAGATATATGTACACTATATAAAACATACTAATATCTACTTCAGAGCTTTTTTTTTTATTTTTTATTTGACTAATGTGTCTAGGCAAACATTGCCAATTATTGTGGAGTTGTAATATATTTTTATTCTAATTACTGTAGAGTTGTAATATATTTTAACATCTAGAAGAACAAGTCATCCTCTAAGTTTCCCATTTCAAAATTATTTTTTTCAAAGCACCAATACCTTCTAAGGATCACAGCCTATAGAATACCAAACACAGATCTTAAATATTAATGAAAACATATCATGCAGTTTTTATTTTTTAAACTACTAATTCATGCTGTAACCCAGGGGTTGCCAAACTACTCCTCTAAAGGGCCAGATGGTAGGTATTTCACTCAGTTGTCACTACTCAACCTGCCAATATAATGGGAAAGCAGCCAGACAGTAAGTAAATGAAAGGGTGTGTCTGTGTTCCACCACAACTTTACTTACAAAGACAGGTCAGCTTAGTTATCTGACTCCTGGTCTAACCCTGTATTCAAACACCATCAGGGAGATGTATTTTTTTAAATACCTAAATGAAGGTGGGCATCAGTAGCTTCCACCTTACAGAGACTGGAGAAGAAAGGGGATGTCTGAGAGGGCAATGGGATGACCTCATTCGAACATACACTGTGAGCTACAGGGTGAGACAGATGCGTAATGTCACTTAGCCCTCAGTAAACCTTGGAAGACACTGCTTTTCCACTTTATCGGTACGGAAAGTAAGGATTTCTGATTCCTCCACCTGGTAAGTGAGAACAGTGATACCTGAAACCAGCTGGATTCTCCCAGCACCAGGCTTTTCCCACTTGACCCCACCACAGTGTGACAAGAGCAGGAAGGCCCTGGTTTCTGCAGCAGAAGCATCTACTTAAAGCTATAAGGAACATAACCAACTGAAGTAAGTAAATCCAAGCCTAGAACAAGCACATTTGGTCTCCTTCAACACACCTTGAGGCTCAATGCCTTGATTCTCCGTCCCCTCCTTGCCCGTCTGCCCCACTTGGTAGTAAGCACTATCTGCTCCACGTAAGGTCTCTCTCTTCTGGGAAGAGAGGTCAGGGCTTTTCCCTGCTGTCCCTCGGAAGAAGGACAACATTCCAGAAGCCTTTTTGGCTAAAAATAAGAGGTAACATATTAAGTACCGGTCACTGCAGGTAGAAAAATAAAAATTTTCAATTCATTCCTGTGTAAGCAGTAACCATTATATGAAAGTAACAAATAAGAGTAACACTGATAGATTCATTTGCACAGATTATTATTCCACATATGGTTTATGGGGGCTTCAGGGAGCAATCAAGCACTCTTATTATCAAAAACAGAAGAAAAGCAATGTTCAGATAGCTACACATCAAAATGTGAGAAATTATTAAATACAGAGAAAGACTTTAAAAAATTTCTTTCCAAGGCTGTCACAGTATCTTAAGCAACAAGTTTAAGATAGGGCTAGGTTCTTATAGTATTACAGTACACCTCATTAAACTAATAAGGAATAGTATTCCAAGCTACGAGGATTCAAAGTTAAAAGTAACATATTTATATCATGTATTTCTATATTTTAACACAGCAAAATATATAATTTGAGTTTTAGCATTTTTCAAAAATAAGTAGTACAGGATGACCAAAGATATCACTAAAGCTTGCTCTGTATTTTTATCTTTCCTTTTGAGCCTCATCATATCATTAATACATATGATCCTAATTTTGGGGTAGCATTTCCCTCCTCCAAGGAATCTCCCCAAGCCATGGATCTAACCGAGGTCTCCTACATTGCAGGTGGATTCTTCACCAGCTGAACCACGAGGAAAGCCCAAGAATACTAGAGTGTGTAGCCTATCCCCTCTCCAGCAGATCTTCCTGACCCAGGAATCGAAACTGGGTCTCCTGCATTGCAGGCAGATTCTTTACCAACTGAGATATCAGGGAAGCCCTTTGTACATTTACTATTAACAAAATCCACACCAAATCTCAATCATTAAGTTCTTACTTAGCGTAGCAGACACTATCAGAGTCTCCTCAATATCCAATCCCACCTTCTTCCTTGCTAACAGAGCTCCAGTTTTCTTTGGGGCAGCAGCATGCAGTGTTCCAGGAAATTAATCATGATTTGTATAAGCTAGCCAGGACAACGCTGCTCACCACGTTCTCAGTCTCCTTTACAGGAAAGGGTGGCCATGAGACTCAGTTCTAACCAATGAGACTGAAAAGGAAAGGGAATTTCCTAATAAAAGGGAAGAGCAGAAGCTTGTACCTCCCTTCCTTCTGCCTCAAATGCAGATATTAGGTGGGACATCTCTGTTCACGAGTAAAATTTAAGAGAATCAAAGAGAAACTAACCCCTATGTTGTCATGACAAAGCTAAGTAGCTGAACCAATGCCTGAAACTGCCCACCTGCAGATGTTGCTATTTTAGAAAAATAAACTGTCATTTGTGTAAGCCCCAGTAGTCATTTGAGCTTTCTGTTCAGTTCAGTCACTCAGTTGTGTCCGACTCTTTGTGACCCCATGGACTGGAGCATGCCAGGCTCCCCTGTCCATCATCAACTGGGTTTTCTGTTACTTGTAGGGAATATTCCTAACTGACAAAGTCAAAGAGACACAACTTCAAATCCCTGCTCCCCACTACCTGTGTAACCTTGAGTGAAATGCTTAATCTAGGTCTTAACTTACTTTCTGAAAAATGGAGATATGTCAAATATGGGGTTATTGTGGGAATTAAAGGAGATAAGACATGAAAAGTTCTTTTCACAATGCCAACAATGCTGCAAAAACAAACAAACAAAAACTGATGTTATATTTTTTATGCTGCATGCTTTAAACTGAAAGCTCTAGCCAAGAAGGCCAATCTTGTTTCTTTTTGCATGGACCTTCTTTTTGCATGAAATGCTTCTAGGCATTTCAAACTCAAAAACTTAAAAATCAAAGAAAAGTGAAATATACACAAAAGAAGATACATAAAAATTTTACATCCATATTATATTTCAAAGATCAGAAATAATAAGTCCTTGCCAGATGGCATTTCTTACTTAATGTGTTTTCCTCTCCAAACCACAATTACACACACAAGTACTCCTCCACTTGTAATCTTACTTGGTTGTGGTTCTGCGTCTACGGCACGATTTGTCTGTCCTCCGCTGATCTCAGGTAATCTAATTGGGCTGCTACTCTTTGGTCTGCTGTCTAAAGTACTAAAATGAGAAACAGAAGAAAAGTTGGTTTTACATGATTCAGACACAAAATAACAAGTACTCTAATTCCTGTATGAATCTACTTTCCACCTAACCCCGCCCACAATATCAGAAATCTGGTTCATAATTTATATAAACACAGGTTAGCATGGAAGAAAAAGTCTTGAAATGTATACCAGACTTTTAAGAAAACGAAAAATGTTAAAGCTATAAGAGTACAGGGTCTTAAAATATTTTTCTCAAGTCTATCAGAGCTATATTATAGCACCCATAAGTCAATGGTGACAATTATGACAATTTCTGTCTCAAATACCCAAAATACTGAAAATACTTAAAGAGCTGATTTGGCAGAGGTTTGCTTTGTTTTTTAGCTGTTAAGATCTTTCATTATTACGGAAAACTTTTAAATTATTTAAAGTACAAAGTTAGGCAGTAGTTTACCAATTTCAGAAGTTAATATTTTTTAAATATTAACAGCAAAGAGAACTTAAAAACTTAAAAATGTAAATATGCAATACACTTTGAACTTCTATGACAATTATAAGAAAACTGTAACCTAGTGGACTTTTTTAAGGTCTTTTGCTATACCTGAATTTTGTTCTGTCAATCACTGGCTAAAAAATGAGTGCCACAGATTATATTCTAGAAACTTTTACATCAATAAGCTGTAATAAAACTCAAATAGGAACACCTAGAAAATGATACAGTTCAATTAAAATAAATTTTCCTCAATCACAGATCACCTGTTTGTTGGAAGCCCTTCTTCAGCACTGTTCCGCTGAGTGGCTTTGGACAATTCCTCCAAGGCATTCCGGTATTCTTTACAGCTTAGGATAGAAACAGGTTGAAATATGTTAAACATTAAGGTCTTCTTTTAAAGTAAATCATATGCTTTAGAATAAGCTTTGCATTATAAAAACACAAACATTTATAAGCATCCACATCTAATGTACTTAGACAAATACATTAGAATTAACTAACAAAAGTTATCAAGTAGAAGCTTCATAAAGAAAGTCAATATATTCACCAAAAAATAATACAAAATATAATCCAACACACCAACCAGACTCAATATCCTAAACAATGATTGTGAAGGCCTTCATACTAACATTTAGATCAAATGCCTTCAGGGGTTGAACAGCTAATTGAAAAGCATGAAACTTCACCATTTAGTGTAATAGAGAGGAAAGGGACTTGAGAGTGCTTTTCAACTTAAAAGTATTAAACTTTAAGGAAAAAACGCAGCATTTTAAAATGTTTCATTTTAAGGTTGCACTGTCCAACAAAATCCAACTAGCAGCCTGGGATCCCTGACTTGGATAAGTCAGATGCAAGCATGTATTATTTTTCCAAGATATTAGAAAAAGGTGACATCAGCTAGAAAACCTGCTTCCTAATAGTACAAAACACATGTTTTTTTTGGTTGACTTTCCCACTTTTCATGTAGTATAACTAACCAATAAAATGAGAAGCCAATACTTAATGAACATCAAAGGGCAATGATAAAAGCATGTATCATATGGAATCTTCTAAAGGAAAAAATTCCTTATTATCCAAATAGTAACTCTAAACTCCATAAATGCTGAAGTCTATAAATCTATCTTATTTATTCCTTAAACCCAGTACCCAGTACACCACACATTGCAACATTCAAATATTTGTTGAACAAGTGGACAACTTGTAACCAATATTAAAAATAAAATTTTAATTTCAATGTCTTTCAAAAGGGAAAAAACACTTTTTTTATTAAACATCTTAGATTCTACTCAAACTAGGTACTATCACTGCCAAGACATCATTGAGATTAAAAAGCTTTGTTATTTTAGACACAATATATGGGTCCTTCTTTAAGACACATAACTATGGGCATGTAAATGAGTTAAAGCATAGGAACAACATTACTCTAAGGAAACTTTACCTTCTATGTGTGGGAAGCAGGAAGGAAATGAATGAAGAATACAAAAAAGATATTCAGAGGATATAAGGCAGATATGTTCCAAGTATTATATCAATAAATAAACCAAAGGAAAGGAGACAATGGACACATATTATAGAGAATGGACAAAGGATATAAGAATTAGCAAATAACTTGCCTAGTTAACTTAATTATTAGGAGCTTGCTTAAGAATCATCCTGTTAATATTTGGGTAAACAGTACATTACCAGATACAAAAAGAATAAACTGTCACAACCAAAGGATATATATTCTGTACTTTTATTTACTACTTTACATTTACTTATATTTTGCTCTACTCTATGTAACAGAGCTCAACAATACAGCAATTAATAAATAAATACACATAAAATATAAAAATACAAACACAGGTGAAAAAGCCCCATGAGTAATACCTGAGAGCAAAGGCAATGATGGAGCTGGGCTCCTTCTCACAGACTGCAATGGGCACGCGTTCATGTTCATACATTAAGTAGTGTTTATCTGGATCGCTGTTCAAAAACAAATAAATCAGAACAAAATTAGCAGAAAACCACATATATGACCCATTAGCACAATTACAAGCAAATCTCAGGACAATTTTAAGTTAACTAAATAATGCACAATTACATGAACATAATTAAGCCAAAATGTATGCAGAACCTGAACAAACAGCCAAGGAAAATAGATCAACAGAAAGTTTTTAAAGGCAAATGAAAATTATCAGAACTGTTTTTCCAATCAGAGGGTCCTAGAATCATCAAACAAAGTTTTCTACATTGGCAAGACAATGGGCCATATTTATCTCAAGAAGTATTTACAATGAATAGCAGAAGTTTAAGAGATTTTGTTCTACTATAAGTTTGAAAGAAAAGTCTTCTGGAAATTGTGGAAATGTACCACTAATCCAGCAGTAAATGACATAAACTATTCAAGCCTGAAGCAGAGAAAACAGAGGCCTTTTACACATTTATACCACAGAACATACAGCTCAAGACATGAGCTTCTGAGAGCAAGAGTCTCCCTTATTGATCTTTCTCTACATCCTGAGGCATTAAAGCTGACACTCCATAAGTTTAAATATTAGCTGAATAAATAAATACAGAAATCAGTTGAGAACAAAATTAACAAAGGTCCATCTTTTGGATACATCTGTTTCACTGGACCAAGCATCATAAGCTGATAATCAGACATGTCAACCAGTAGAAGAAAAACTCTCACAGCCAGCCTATGTTTTTTCCCCACTGTGAGAGAACCTGGTACGAACAAGATTACACAAAAACTTGCATGGGCCATTGCAATTCATCACCACTGTTAGAAAAGCACCATGTCCCAGTAAAGTACTGGGTCACTAATACCCTCATATACAATCAGCAATATGTTTTTATGATCATGAGATCAATTGTTGTTGTTATTCAATCGCTAAGTCATGTTCAACTCTTTGCAATCCCATGAACTGCAGCATGCTAGGCTCCCCTGTCCTTTACTATCTCCCGGAGTTTGCTCAAACTCAAGTCCATTGAGTCAGTGATGCTATCCAACCATCTCATCCTTTGTCACCCCCTTCCCCTCCTGCCCTCAATGTAGCAGTATATCTTTTAAAATGTGTGTGTGTATATATATATAAGCAATTCTTTATTAATCTACTTATCTACTGTTAATATATAAAGACTACACGTTCCACAAAGTACATTATAGAAAAAGACAACTCTTTTATAGTAACGGAGGGTAATTTTGGATTGAGAAATACATATATAAAGTTAAATAAACATATTTAAATATGGAGAGTATATCCATAGCTGCTGCTGCTAAGTCTCTTCAGTCGTGTCCGACTCTGTGCGACCCCATAGACGGCAGCCCACCAGGCTCCACCATCCCTGGGATTCTCCAGGCAAGAACACTGGAGTGGGTTGCCATTTCCTTCTCCAATGAAGGAAAGTGAAAAGTGGAAGTGAAGTCGCTCAGTCGTGTCCGACTCTTCGCGACCCCATGGACTGCAGCCTACCAGGCTCCTCCGCCCATGGGATTTTCCAGGCAAGAGTACTGGAGTGGGTTGCCATTGCCTTCTCCAGTGTATCCATAGAGAAATCTTTAAAATGAAGTGAAAATAAAACCACCCAACAGCCACTGGCTTATATAATACTTACAAAGGAAATGGAATAGGGTTATAGCTATTTCCTGGAAGCAAATTTGCAAAAATGGCTTTCATGGTTGATTTTTCCTTCACCTGGCTGTCTGTAGATCCCAGCAAATGTCCATCAAATACATCTAGAATGAAAAATATTCTACTTATGTATTAATATTCAGGAAGAATAAAAGTATAAAGTGTCAACTATATTTCTTTTCCTTTTGGAACACAGACATGGGTACACCATAATTACCAATTATGGTGTAAAATTTTTGATCTAGGAATAATGACTATCTAACAGGAAGCAACCATGAGGCATACACAGCTCTGACCCCAAGGGGCTTATTTTTTTTTTTACATTTCAACATGTTTGAAGTTGAGATCATCCTGCAATCAATGGCCTCTTACCCTCAAGGGGCCAGGCAGCAGCCATGGTGAAATTACTGGCCAAGCACACATGAACTCAGTCCCAGCTGTTCCTATTGGCACTTCAACTCAAGTTATGAGTACTGTGGCTATTACATCTGAGTTTAATTGCAATTTAAAAGTTATGTTTAAAGTTTGCACTACAATTAAGTAGTTGGTGCTTAAACAGAAAGCAAGGAAAGAAAGGGAAAAGGCATACATCTATTACTGGCGAAACAAATGTTTGTCATTGCAGAAGTGGTTGCAATTTTTCTTTCTTGTAAGGGAACAATCGTGTGTTTTATGAGACTTAAGAAAATAAATATCCCCAGAAAGTAGATAAAGTTGAACAGTATTTGTTACTGAGACACTCAAGCAGTGCAACTGAAGAAGGGATATGGTAAAAAGCTACATCTAAAGGAGCACTTTCAATGGAAAAAATTTTAAATCCCAAGGGCTAAGAAAGCATTGTGCCCCAGCACTCAAGAGTGTTTGTCTCTACTGGACGAAGTACAGAGATAGTGACTTAACCTGTACCTTCAGAACTGCTGGCAGTATCGAGTTCGGGGGGCCCTCCCATGGCCTGCTCAGGCACGCCTTCAGGAGAAGTGGGCAGCTGGAGATGGGGGGAACTGGTGGAGCTCTGACTGGACAGGGTGGCCAAGAAGCGGTCCTCTAAAGAAAAACACCATGCAAATAAGCCATTTTAAAACATCACGTCCATTTCTACCTAATAACAATGTTTTTAAAATGACAAAACCTTTTTCTACTTCATAAACCAAAGAATCTTAGCTTCTTAAATCAAGTTACATAGGTCATTTCACAAATGAATTTCAGAAATTTTAGAAATGGATACAAAAATCCAGGCAGGTTATATGACTCGACCATCATCAGATTAACTTAGTGACAGGAGGATGACTGGCAACCAAGTCTAGTACCACTCCAATACTCCCTGCACTGGACCGTAATGCCTGGGCTTCCTTAGTAGCTCAGCTGGTAAAGAATCTGCCTACAATGCAGGAGACTCCAGTTTGATTCCCGGGTCAGGAAGATTCGCTGGAGAAGATAGGCTACCCACTCCAGTATTCTTGGGTTTCCTTGATGGCTCAGCTGGTAAGGAATCTGCCTGCAACGCAGGAGACCTGGGTTCAATCCCTGTGTTGGGAAGATCCCCTGGAGAAGGGAACAGCTACCCACTCCAGTACTCTGGCCTGGAGAATTCCATGAACTTTTAATTTTAGCCCATGGGGTCATAAATCAGACATGACTGAGTGACTTTTCATTTTCATAATGCCTACCTAAATATTTTGTTCATTCAATTTAATAAGGAATGAAATTATGACACTATTGAGGGGGAAAAAATCACATGTTTATTCTCAAGGGGGAAATTCACTTAGTTATAATAGAAAAATGCCAAGAATTTCAAGTTGAGTTTCTCTTCTACCAAGATAGTCTAAGTAAATTTCCCTTCCAATTTCCTACAGTGACACCAAGTTATTCAATGAAATAAGCTGAGGAAAAACAGCTTAAGTCTAGAAAAGATTTTAGCGCTATAAAAATATCAACTAAGATTTTTTTTTTCCTACGAAACGAGGGACTTAACTGTAACACAATCAAGACACAAATTCAGTTTCCTTTCATCTTTCTGTTCTTCCCCTAAAAAGCAGCCTTCTCTATTGATCATCTGGCTTCCCTGTAGCTCAGCTGGTAAAGAATCTGCTTGCAATGCAGGACACCCTGGTTCAATTCCTGGGTTGGGAAGATCCACTGAAGAAGGGATAGGCTAACCCACTCCAGTATTCTTGGGCTTCCCTGGTGGCTTAGCTGGTAAAGAATCCACTTGCAATGAGGGAGATCTGGGTTAGATTCCTGGGTTGGGAAAGCCCTGGAGAAGGGAAAGGCTACCCACACCAATATTCTGGCCTGGAGAATTCCATGGACTGTAGAGTCCATGGGGCTGCAAAGAGTCAGACACTACTGAGCAACTTTCACTTGCTTCACTATTGATCATCTATTTCTCCATCCTAACTTAGGCAATGTATGTTATAATAATCTTAAACTGACACTGCTTACAAATGCTTTATGGCAAGGAAAAAAATGTCTCTGACCAACTGCATCAGAAAAAATTCTCAAAATTTAGTGTTTAAAACAATTTTTAGACTAAGAAACATCTTTAAATTCAATGACAGGTGATCACTAGACTCAAGGACCAACCTTTTTCTCCATTTGGAAGTCCTGGAGAAGCATTCCGTGGAGATGCATCCACTGCACTTATCTGTAGAGAAGGAAATATTCTGTTCTTAAGGAAATGTTAAAATCACACTAAAAAATTTTTTAACAAAGTGAATCTTACTCTTTCAAACTCTTAAAAATTATTAATACTGATTCATTTAAAAATAATAATAAACCCATTACATGTTACTATAAACAACACATTTTAATTAAAAACAGATTTTTTTAATTGGTAAAAGAGTGGCCTTGTTTTATGCTTTTACAAATACTTTAATGTCTAGGAGACATTAAAGTCTTCTTTTAATAGAAGACAGTTAAATTCCTCTCTGACTTCTGCATTTAATCTATTGAGCTGTATTATTATGACTGAACTTATAAAGATAATCTAGCCTTACACAGTTATGTAGTTGAAAAAGGGAAATCTCTCAGAGCCCTTGAAAGGGTCGAGGACCTCTGGGGTCCTTGAACTACATTTTGAGAATACCGTTCTAAACAGTAGCTCACAGACTCAATAAAATATCCAGGAACTACTTATGATTATCCATTAAGCCCAGCAACCTTTTGTTATCCATTGGACTTTCTCAAGTCCCATAATCCATTGATAAAATATATATTTAAATGATTGTCAGCCCTGTGTACAATGTCATTAAAAGTCATTTCTTACATTGCTACTTACAATGTCCTTTGATTTGCTTACCCAAACAGAGACCTCCCTGGTCATCCTACATAAAATAACTCATCATCACCTGCTACCTTGGCATTACTCTCCATTTCTCATTAATTTTTTCCTCATAGCTTTGTTTCCACTTGTTTTTTAAATGTTTATTGGTTCATCTGTTTATTGTCAATCTCACAAACAAATGTTCCATGGGAACAATAACTATGGCCTTCATCCACAAATGTGAACTTTCGTGTTCACGTTTGTGAACCCTGAGAGCCCTGCACTCAGAACAGTGTCTAAAAGCACTCAATAAGTATTTATCAAATGAATGAATATAAACACAAAGGCAATGCTACAGATTTTCAAATCAACTTTCAATCTTTCAAAAAGAAAATCACCTGTTGACTAATTTTATATTTTCTGTTCCATGTCTCCATATTTTAAGCAAAGGTCTTACAGCACTAGCTTCACAGTTTCATCAGTAGGCAAACAGAAAGGCCTCTAGCAGTGTGTGAGAGTCATTAACAGTCCCAGACTACTTAGAAATACTAATAAATCATCTTCATAATTCTTATTCTCACCCAAAGTTTAAAGAAAAGTGATTCCTACACAGTTATTTATGAGACAAAAAGGAGAATTCAGTGACACAGTGTTCCTAAATAATACAAAGATCTAAGGCACTTGGACCCATCATTCCATGAAAATACTCTGCTACAAGTACTATAAACTTGTACAAAAGAAACATTCTCTCAAAAGCCCTCATGGTATCAGAATATTAAGTCCTTAAAATATACTGACGTTAATTCATCTGTTCATGGTTAGCACAGTAGCAGAATTTGGTGATGATCCCAAAGAACTGCACACTCTGGGACACATACACACACACATACCACACACACCTTCAATCAAACATGAATCCAGATACTGCTGCGAAGGGATTCTATCATGTATGTAAGATCTCAAATCAGTTAGCCTTAAACTAGGGAAATTAAGCAGGTGGGCTGACCTGCTAATCACGTGTCCTTTAAATCTGTGTCCAGACGTGAGACACAGAACTCAAGAGATATGAAACACGAGAAGGATTCAATCCACTGCTGTAGGCTTTGAAGATGAAATGGGCCGCGTGCAAGGAATCAGGCAGTCTCGAGGAGTTGAGACTTGCCTCTAGTCAAATGCCAGCAACGAAAGGGGGACCTCAGTCCTATAACCATTAGAGTTGAACTCTGCCAACAACCTAGATGAGCCTGGGAAAAGATCCTGAGCCTCAGATAACCACCCCGGCCAAACCTTCATCTAAGCCATGAGAATGAGCAAAGAACCCAGCCATATACTCTGCCAGAGTCCCGACACACTGTGAGATAACAGATTTATGTCTTAAGTCACTAAGTTTGGGGTAAGGTGTTAAACAGCAGGAGAAAACTAACACAGTTAGGCAAGGTTAACTAAACCACCATATAGAACTAACCTGGTAGAGCCTCTTAAGAAAATCTTCTCACTTAAGCACAGAGATGAAGAACACCCAAAATTCATAGTAAAATAGGACTGTGTTACACACCCAGGGCATCCACACCTTCTCCTTTACAGCACCTATTGCCTCTGTGATGCTATCCTCAGTGATGCCAGTAGACAGCAGTTTTTGATAAGTATTTCAAATAAATGAATTATAATGTATTTTATTTCAGGCAAAGATAAAAAAAAATTAATCCAGGTCACACCAAGAAACCTGACAGCTTCAAAATTAAAAACGCTAATATCATCAATAAAGTATGTATTCAATTACCACTTCTAAGTGTTCCAAGAGAAATTATTGTATTTATCACAGTGAAGACCCAAAGACAAAACAACATTACCTTGCTTTCTTCACCCTGTCTCAGTCTTCCAGGACTTGGAGGAACTGAAGGCCGCTTCCTACCCTTTTCTTGTTGGAAAAGGTCTTGTAGCCTACAATTAAAGAAAAAAAGGAAAAGTGAAAAGAAGGACATGGTTTTCTTTCTAATATCCTGAATAATGCATACACATATTCTTCTTATAGCTTTGAAACCACAATAATTAATTTTCCTATTTCAAAAGCAATAGATTTTACAGATGTATACAACTAAGTTTTGTTTTATTTCTAATCAACTAATCAGTTATTATTGATATGGTTATGGTTAGAAAAGAATAGCAAGGTATAATGAGACCAACAGACCAAGGCTCAAAGCCCAGCTCTGAAAATCAACAGCTATTTAACTTGGGCAAACCCCTCAGTCTCGTAGAGCCACAGTCTCCTCTGTAAAATGAAAGCAGTATATACACATGTGGGATTCAAAATCAGATAAAAGAGTGCATGTCCATCTGGTGCCTGACTTAGTGCCCAGCATCATTCAAGTGCTCAATAAATAAATGCTATACTAATCCAATTGAACTTTTCAATATGCATTAAAAGGAAACAATTTCCCCAAATAAATATTTAAATACAGGTATAAAATACACAAAACAATCAGTTGAAACTCATGGCCTAACACCCAATAATTACTCCATGGTTTACTATTACAGATAAATTAGATTCAGTTAGCACACATACTGTATTTGAAACAGCAGCAAAGGCTATTCTCATCTTTTTTTTTTTTTTTTGTATCTTTGCAAACTGCACTTTAAAGGATGAAAGAAGAGGAGGGTGATAGGAGCGATAAAAATAAAACCTTCTACAACTTGAGAGTAAAAGGCAACATCCACAACTAATAAGGACATTTAAATCAAAAACATCCTGGCAGAGCACACTTTGCAACAATATGAAAGAAACACCTGATTGCAGAGTCACACCTGTTATTCCAAGCTTGCAGCGCCTCACAGAGGCTCTGTTTCTTGGCAATGAGCGACTCGAAGACTGACTGCAGCTGCTGGGGGGTCTCCACAGAGGAAGACAGGAGCCGCGCCTGCATCTTCTCAGTCCAGCCCTTGAACTCGCTTTCTTCCATCTAGGGGGACAAAAACCGCTCCAGCAATCTTAGACGCACCCCAAAGGGAACTTCTAACAAGTTCACAACTGACTGCTGGGTTTCTGTCAGAAAAATGAATTACCTCTTTTTGTGCAAAGATATCTTCCATTTTTTCCTCTCTTGATTTGCTAAATGTATCAGTTTTCAAAGATGCAAGTCTTTCATCCACAGCAAGATATACCTGTGAAACTCTTAACAAACATTAAACATTTTAGAAAAGTTAGAATCAAACTGTCTAATCTCACACAAGTATAAAAAAGATGGGCAAAACCACTACAATATTGTAATTAGCCTCCAATTAAAATAAACAAAATTTTTTAAAAAGTAGAAAAAAGATGTACACAGAACTTTAGTAAGAGCTTATCTAACTAAGAATCACATATAATTTTGCAAAACAAAAAAGACCTGAAAGGATGTACATCAAAGTTTAACAGTTGTTATGCTTGGGAGAGTCCGACTTCTTTATTAATACTTTGGTGTATTGTGTACATTTTCCCATTTCTACATCAGACATATAAAACATACAATTAGAAAAACAGGTTATTTCTGTTTTCAAAGAAAGCTGAATGAACAAACAAGATATTTAAAATAGTTTAGATTTCAGGCAGTACTAAACAAAAACAGATGATCAAAGAAAATGAAACTTACTTTTGAAAGAAGTCCTTCAGATCCTGAAGAAGGGACACTTTTAATGGGACTTGACGTTTAATGAATATTTTGGGAAGTGGAACACACACTTCAAGAAGCCGAATGGGAGAATAACTGAGAGGAGAAAACACAAGTAATAGTAGAAAAGTGAAAAATATTTTAGTATTTTGAGTAGAAGTTTATCATGACAGCCAACTAAGTCTTATGGGCATAAGAGATCATAAAGTTTCTATAAAATGGCATTTTCAAACAACCAAAAATACTGAAGACCCCTTTCAATCATTACCAATATCCTTCCCAGTTTTAAAAAAATTTTGTTCTGTGTTGTTTTCCCCCTGCATTGTGCTATCATCATTTATCCCGAGGCCACCCTCGTGTGCTTTAAAAACAAATGACTGGGATATAAACCTCCATGAAGAGAGAGGAACTCCTTCCTACAATCAGCTTAGACACAGGTATTCACAACCTTCTCAGCTCCCAAGGATTCTTCATGAGTTTCCTTTCCACCTGAAGTTCATGTTGTCTAGTAAATGCTATATCCAACCTAGGCCCTAGGTTCATGGTTAATAGCTCTTGCTTAAAAAAGGAAATAGGTTCAATTACAAATATTTTCTGAGGACCTATTATGTGTCAGATGCTGTTTTAGGTGCTGAGCAAGGGCCAAAATTCCTGCTCTCATGATTCAGGAACAACAAGATTTGGGCAATAAATAAAAACAAATACTTAAAACATACCTTATGCCAGAGAGTAGGTGCTACAGGGCAAAATAAAGGGTGAAAAAGAAGCAAGGAGTGCTAGGGGTGAGAAGTCAGGGCAGGTGAAATCTGAACAAAGATCTGAAAAAAGTAAGGAAAAATAAGCAAATGTCTAGAAGCAGCAGCACAGAGATGGAAGAGCAATGAGAGGCTCCCAGGAAGGAGGTTAGCTGGCATAACTGAGGCCCAGCCTGGAGGCCAGGGAGCGAGGGGAGAGGAGTGGGGGTGAGAAGCCTGAGTATGAGGGGCTTAGAGGCCCATAAATGGTCTCAGGCTTTCACTCGGGGTGAAACAGACAGCTGGAGCCTCCAGAGAACAGGAGTGGCCTAACCTGGTTTTCATATAATAGGACCACTCTGACTGCTCTGCTGCAGGGTGAGGCTAAAGGGAAGCTGGTTGAGGTTATTGCAATAATCTAGGGAAGGACGACAGAGATTCAGTTCAGAATGGGAGTGCTGCAGGCGGTGAGATACGTTCAGATTCTGGATATATATACATATATATATATATGGCTATGCTGGGTCTTTGCTGCTGTGTGTGGGCTTCTCATTGCGGTTAGCTTCCTTGTTGCAGAGCGCAGGCTCTAGGGGGCAGGCCCAGCAGTTGTGGCCCATGGGCTTAGTTGCTCCACAGCATGAGATCTTCCTGGACCAGAGATCAAACTCATGTCCCCTGTGTTGGCAGGCAGATTCTTAACCCCTGGACCACCAGGGAAGTCCTTAGATTCTGGATATATTCTGAGAGCTTTCTCAATCATTTAAAACCATTCTTTAAATTAGTGATTTCAGCTCTATCCAGCTCTATCCAATTATCCTTATGCTAAGTAAAGTCTTAGCAAAAATTCTGACAGGCTCTCAGATACAAAACCAATGGTTAAGAGTCACACCTGCAATAGCAAATCTACCAGTTTATATCATGACTCCATCACTTGTTAGCTCTATTAGGTAGCTACAAGGTCTCTAAGTCAGGGTAATAGTAACACATTTCTTAATGGATTAAATACAATAATAGCACTGAAAGCTCTTCGCAGGGTATGGCCCTGTATTTGCAAGGCTGATGGGGAGGGAACAGCACACACCAAAAGTGAGTTCAATCTAGTAACAGTGGAAATGCGACAAAGCCTTCCAGGGAGTGTGTGCCTGTGACAAGGTTGCTCAGGCTTCTTACCTGAAAGATGCCACCATCTGGTTATAGGAGAAATACTGGTGATAATCATGGTGGATGGAGTGACCACATGGCTCAGCATTGGCTCTGCGAGTATACTGGTGCCCATAAAACCTAAGTTCAAGGTATTTTGCAAATGACATGGACCAAGACTCATTGGAAAGAGCGACAACTGGTGTTACCTGAAATTCAGCATACATTGTTTGTTATCTAATCACATACTAAGAATCTCTTTTAAAAAAAAAAAATGTATTTTCTTCTTTAGTACAAGTCTAGTACATTCTGACTGCAGAAAACAAGAAAAAAAAAAACTTAGAGGTGGGTGGGGTGAGGGATGGCTATGGAAACTGTCTCAGCATTTAAAACATTTCAAGCTTTGCATTATTTTGATGAACTTTTCAATGAAGGTATATATAAACACACTTCTAAGTATCCATAACAATTTCCTTGCAATAAATTAATAAAAGTGGAAACTGGTAGCTCAAAGAAGGGTGAACATTTATCTGGTCTTTGATACTCCCCCACAAAAAGAACTATAGAAAGAAATGATACTACATGAAATAGGACAGCAACAAGGTACACTTACCTGTTTGCAGATTCTGCACCAGGAGTAGGTGAGAATTGTATGCTGATATCCAGGTACCGGAGAATCCAGCTCCTTCAGGATTATCTGCACACAGCCTTGGCCATGGACGAAGCGTCGAATGTGGTGCACCATGGGGGTATCACAGAACATGCTAGGGCACTGATAGGAAGGCCTTTAACAAAAAGAAAGTCCTCACATTAACCATGAAACCGAGGAGCCATGTATAGTGAATGCTGGCTAATCAGGACTGCAGACGAGAAAGTGCAGCATCCTCTCCAGAGTAAGGATGATGGTGGATGATCTGCTCAGAGTACCACTCGTCCTGTTATGAGCCTGAGAGCTGAACACCCTGCACCTTCAACCACATCACAGTGATACGTTCCATTTGTTAAGCACCTTCCATTTGCCAAGCATTTCTAAAACATCATCTCATTTTACTTATTAAAACTCTTGACATTTGTGCAGTTTGTTAATATCTATAAAGGGGACTTGTAAAGACTAACCCAGGTGATGCTAGTGCTAAAGAACCTGCCTACCACTGCAGGAGACGCAAGAGATGCGGATTAGATTCCTTATTTGGGAAGATCCCCTAGAGAAGGAAACAGCAACCCCTTCCAGTACTCTTGCCTGAAAAATTCCATGGACAGAGGAGTCTGGGGGGCTACAGTCCGTGGAGTCGCAAAGAGCTGGACACGACTGAGCATGTACACACAAAGATTAAGTTACTTGCTCCTCGTCATGAAAGTGGCAAGCGAAGGCACTAAGATTTCAACTGAGGTCCTTAGTTTCTCTTGTCTCTTATTTGAATCACTGTAAAAACACACATTCTAAAAAAAAAAAAAATCTGCAGGACTGCAGGGCAATTAGATGGGCATGGATCTGAAAAATGAACTGAAGAAGACTTCCTGGGTTGAATATAAAACAGATCACCGCTCTGTACAGTAAGCCCTGATGTGAGGCATGAATAGGAAGGTCAAACAACAGTGCTCCAACTCATGTTTATGTTGAAATTCTGTGCATCAAAAAAAACATAAATAGAACGTAAGGAAAAAACTGGTTCTTACCGGAAACAGTATCTCTCTAAAAATATTCCTAATGTAAGATCATTTTTTCCATAAAATTCCATTGTTACAATCCTAAAAGGAAAGATCATTTCTTAGAAACATATCATTAAATTACAACCCAGCAAAAACATTTTCATCAGACCCCAAACTGATATCTGTTAGATGTACTTATAATACAGTATTATTACCAACAAAACAGGTAATATTCTTTTGTTGTTACAGAACAGGTTTTACCTTATCTGATATAATGGGTTTGGACTACCATATTACAGCGTCGTATCCATTCCCAGTCCATTAGTATTTTATGAAACTATTTAATCAGGATACATAAACAATAACACTAAATGGGTAAGTCTGATTTGTGTTAGGAAGAAGTACAAGTTTCCTTTACAAAGCTTTAAACTTCATCACTATAAAATGGGACTCCTGTCTCTGCTCTCCAGTCTACACCATTACTGAGCAGGAACAGCAGCAGCTCATATTTTTCCAGGAGAGCCAGGTCCTAAGTTTACATCCAACTTTACACCTAAATAAGAGAGTTCAGCCACACTTTTGAAACTGACATCTTATTCAAGCCTCGACCTAAACTCCCAGAGAAAATTTCCATGGGCTCAACCAGACCCAAGTCAGCCTGGTAGAGCAACACCAATGTAGAAGACGCCCTGATCTCACTGGTAGAAATGAGTGTTTCTGGTGTCCAAAATTAAAATATGGAAGACATTTTGTTGTGGCCAGTACTCCAAAAACAAGCAGTTATGTTCTATAGTACTTAAGACCAGAGGTAAACTGTATAATAACTAGGCTTTGTGACTATCATTGGAAACAAATTATAACATTATAAAATGTGTTTCTATCAATCTACTTGGAATTAAGTTTTAGAATAAAACAAGGCAAAAAATTGACCACTTTTATGAAAACAATGCCCAAAGAAAACCTGTTGGATTCGTGCATGTTATCAAAGTGCTTAAAACTAGCTTTTATGTATCAACTTTCACTTTTTTATAATTACAAACTGTTCTTGCATCCCTCTTCACTCTTAACATACTTTTATTTACTTTTACCCATGAACAAATCCAAATTTCATAATTTAATTTACAAGTTCAAAAGTTCCATCAATTCACATATGACCAGCAGCTTGCCGTGCACATACACAGCCCAATGGCTGAATTTTTTTCACAGCTGCTGGAATTCTGTTCCTAAGTGCAACATGCCAGGGAGGGAAGGGGTCCTACCAAGGGCTGACGCAGGCACTGGGGGCGTTGCTAGACTGGGCAGAAGAGCTGCTGAAGAGCACGCACAGCCTCTGGTGGTTGACAGGGCTCAGACAGTCCACCTGGAAGAGAAGGGACAGCCGGGTGAGACTCCAGCTCCAACGCCCGCCTCCAACATCCAACACGTCACTCGGTTTGTAAGCCTCTATCAGCACTACCGGGGTTCCAGTGAAGACCGAAAACTACAGGGAGCTAAATATAAGGAAGAAGAGAGGTTAATTTTTAAGTTAAAACAATCCAAAAGGTTTAAAAATGCAAACATGTCTAAATAACTTGTTTTCTTACTCTTTATTTTTACAAAACTAGGCATTAAATTATTTTAGGAGTTGTTATTTAAATATGACAGTCTGAATTGATAGCTGGATATAATCTCAACCTGAGATACCCAGAAATCTAAATTCTAAGGTATTTATTTATTTGTATTTTATACCTGCTTTTGATCATTACAAAGGTAACATCTGTCTCTGTCAAACTTTAAACATTTCAGAGGAAGATGCAAAAGGCCCCGAAGTACATAAAGCCTCTCCTCATCTGAAGCTGCCCCACCTCCCAAACTGATAAATTTGACTGTGTGGTTAAAAATCATATATTTGCACTAGCTCATACACATATACACATGAAAACACCCACAGAAGTATACACAGGTGATTCTGCTTTTTTATAAAAATGAGATGATGCTACATATATTAAAACACAATCTGCTTTTTAACACAAGAAAATATGTCATGGGCTCTCTCTGGGTCATTCAATGAGATCCAACTCATCCTTTTAGCAGCAGTCAGTCAGAAATAACCACTTCAGTAAATACCCTTGTACATACATTACAATAAAATGTAAGCATCCTTACACAAAATGCTTACTTATCTGTGTTTTGTAGATAATGTACAAGGAATGAGTTATAAAAGATAGAAATCATGAATCAAAAATATGTATGTGCTCATGTAAATTTAAGACCCCCACTTTTAATAAGTTTACATAAATTATAAAATACATATTTATATAAAGTTTATTGTAAGCATTTTCCCATACTTCATTAAACATGGCTCTTATCACATTCCTTCTTTCCAGTTTCATGTATTAAAAACAATATACTACCATTATTTAATCCTTCCTAGACTTGTGAAAGTGAACATCTACTTGTTTTATTAAACAACTGTATTTCCTCCTCAAAAGATGGATTTGTTCATGAGTTTTATCACCTATAATTTTCTATAATAAGGAAAAAAACACACCCATTTCCTATAATAAGCTTCCAACTCTACTCTCCCACTGGCTACCATTAAAAGGATCAAAGACACATCACATTACACCCAAGTCATCATGTCAGAAATGTTAAGTAGCTCCGCACTGCCCCCCACCTCAGAGTTCTTCTGAGTTTTCTGTGAGCTTAGCCTGAAACCCTCAAATCCAGTTTCATCACATTACACTCCTATTTCATACATTTTAAAGCAACACGTAAGACAAAAGAGACCAAAAAAAAGAAAAAAGCACAGATGAAATATTTAGTAAATCTGCATGCAAGCTGTCATATCTGACTCTTTTACCCTGCCATAGCAGAGATTTTCCACCCATCTTAAATGTACACAAGCACAAAAGCGGTCTTGCTCACCTTTGTCGACCACACTGCATCACTTGTAATCAACCCTTTTTCTTCATCACCTTCAGTTCTGCTTCCTGATTTGCCACTTGAGGTACTCGATACCTCCTTTGAGTAAGCAAAAGGGTCTGAATGTTTTTGCTGGATTCTTCCTCCTCTGGCCCGATAATCAGCTAGCATTCTCCCCAAGCTCTGGCTGTCACCCAGATGTTCAGCAATTCTGGTGCTCACGAGCTCATGTGAAGGTAGGACTTGAATGGACTTGGCCTGAACACTTCCATTCATGCCCTGAAGGCCAGAGAGATCCCTAAGCATCTGTTTCTTCCGCCTGCTCTCCATTTCCTTGAACTCCTTATTGAGGAGAGGAGACCAGTAAACCTGCTCCGCAAAATAATCTCGGGTAGAGCATCTCATACCCTTGTCAGTTAAAAGGAATGGCTCCCGGAATGTGATGACTGGTGAGATGCAGAGGATCACATCTTTCAACTCTTGTTTAAAGGTCAAAGAATCAGTCTTCCGTTTATCTTCAGAAGAGGTAATTTCCTCGGTAACATACAGGCCGGTGTCATCCTGCAGAGGGTCTCTAAAGGTTCTCATCTGACTTGTGGGATCCGGAAGGTCCTCTGTTTGCTGCAAAGCCTCTGGCTGCTCGCTGCCTATGGCGTCCTGTTGGTCATCCACATGGAGCGGCAGCAATGACTCTGGTACTGATGGGAAGAGAGCGCAGGGGGCACCCACCGGGCAAGCTGCTGGGGCATGCTCTTGAGGCTTCAAAGAGGCAACATCCTGTGGCATGCTCTTACTTTCTTGGTCACCCTTCTCAAACAGAATCCTTGATTCTAGCAAACTGCCATCATCAGAAGGCAGAAAGTCCAGGGGGATGTCAGGCTCCCGGGGGAGGGGACTTCCGCTGAACGGCTCCTGTGCAGCCCCTTCATCCTCCTGTCCCTCAATCAGAGAATGGAAGGAAGGGTTTTGCGTTAACATAGGAGGCATAGCAAATTCATCCATGAGGAAGGAGATTTCTAGTTGAGAATGATAAGCTACACAGATCATAAATATTAAGATCTCCTTAACTCGAGCCAGCTCATAATCAGAGCCTCCTCTAAGCTTGATTGTACAGCCCAGGTGCTGTGGACAGCCTTCAAAAAACATCAGTGTCTTGGTTTGTTCTACAAATAAACAAACACAAGGTTAAGAAGGTTCAGGTGGCAATCCAGAAGTCCAAACAGAATTAGTTCATTATCTTAACATCTACCAGACAAAAACTCTTAAGTAAGACCATAGTTGTATGCTAATAATCATTTCCTACTATTAATATATCAACATTGTCATTCTGATGAGTTTATTCATTTCCTCAGGCCCCCCCATTTCAGGTAAATCTACACTAAAGATCACTCACCATTAGGCAACAGAAACATCTGCATGTAAAATTTATGACAGGTGCCCAGGTGGGGTTTGGTAAGCAGCTGGTCCATCGACATCACCAAATCACCTTGGGTCATCCGGCTAACTCGTTCTAAAACTTGCTAGAACACAGAACAACATCATATTACAAAACTAAAGAAGAATAAAATTTTAGTACATTTTATATGGAAAAATAATAGAAACATTTGAAAATGCCCTCACCAAAAAAAAAAAAAAAACAGAAAATGCCCTATTTTCTTTCAAGATGAATTTCCTTGACTTTAGTAATTATATGACTTATACTGATTCTAGAGAAGTCTACACTTAGCAATCAACATGTGCTTACTAAAATAAACCATACTTACATTAATAACATCAAGACATCTAAGCATTAATCATTGGCACAAGATACTGATTCAGGGGTGATGGGTGGGGAATTTCCACAACTGACCTCTACACTGAAGAAGGTAATTTTTCAAGGGAGAGAATTTTCTGCTTTGTGTGATTCCCCAAACAAAATGACACCTCTACAAAGACTACTTAATAACTAATGTCAACTACATCTATGGCTTGGTAGACACTTATAATGAGTGTTACATAACTCATTATGTATGAGTGATACATTAATTACACTTTCTTCGAGCCTGAGATTCTCCAGTCTTAATAAGGAAAGCGCTGCCGTGCCTGTGCTTCCAATATATATAGTACAGCTAAGAAATAAATAATCAAAGAACCCTTTATATCTACCACACATGCATATAAATTTACAAGCTATCAATTTTAGAAATAACAGAAAAATAAGAACACTCACTGATTTTACATTAATGACCAAAGTAATGCCATGTTCCAGCAACATATCCTGTGCAATTCGAGATACCGTCTTCTCAACCAGAACCAGTGTGGGTCGAACATCAACTATTCGCTGAACATAATTCTTTAGGAATTCCCTTTCCTAAGTAAGATAAATAAAAAACATTGTATGTGGTACAAATCAAGATCTAGATATGTAAAAATACTAGGGCAGTGTGACTAGCAACATCAAACTCAGTCTAGGTTTTCTTCATCCACAAACCACTACTAATAGACATTTCCTACTAAGTAAACATTGTACTAATGTGTTAACGCATTTTTCACATCCTCAATCTCAGGTAAAAATATGCTAAATACCACTTACCACTGTGTAAGCAAATTAATTCAAACATTACTAAGAATACTATTTATCATTCTAAACTGCTGACTATGCTGGAAAGAGTTTCAGGAGAAACTTTATTCTCCAACTCACTAATTTTTCTTTGAAGGACTTTGAGTTCTTAATAACCTGTAATAAAAGCCAAGAATCCAATTAGTTAGCTCTCGAAACTTAAAAAATCAAAAAATTCTCACAGCTTCCCAAATGAAAGCAACTAAGTATTTTTAATATGATTATGGATTTCCCCTTTTACATTCTGAAACTAACCAGAATATCTCTTCTTTCAGGTATTTGAATAAATAACTAACAGACACTATTTCAGCTACTTCCTAATTTCTATCTCTCAACAGATAATATTCTACTTAGAACCATGGTAGTTACAAATTAAAACAATGTTTAATACAATTTCATGACAAAGGCTTACTCTGGAAGCAAATGAATGTTGTAAATAACAACTAGAGTTTAAAAATATAATTAGTTAATTGCTTTATAAAATCTCTGGACTCAGGAGACAATGGAAGGTGGGGACACACCTGTCACTTCTGCTCCAAATGCCCAGTGTTTTCTGAGTCAACTTTGTATTCATGGTCAGAGCCACCAGCAATGGATGAGCCTGTTCCCTGCAATGAACTTGCCCTGGTACATTTCTTTTCACCTTTCTCTATCTTACTGGTAGAAACTGGACATTCTCAAATTCTCCCATTATTAACAAAAAGAAATTTTTTTTTTACATTTAAAAATTTTTTTCTTAATTTTTATTTGTTTATTTTTGGTTGCTGCACAAGGGCTTTCTGCAGTTGCAGGGGCTACTCTCCAGTTGCAGAGCTTGGGGCTTCACATTGCAGTGGTTTGTCTTGTTGCACAGCAACAGGCTCTAGGGCACATGGGCTCGAGCACGTGAGCTCAGCAGTTGTGGCACACGGGCTCTAGCACGCAGGCTCAGTAGTTGTGGCACACGGGCTCTGGAGCGCGGGCTCAGCAGTTGTGGCACACGGGCTCTGGAGTGTGGGCTCAATAGTTGTGGCACACGGGCTCTGGAGCACGGGCTCAGCAGTTGTGGCACACGGGCTCTAGCACACGGGCTCAGCAGTTGTGGCACACGGGCTCTGGGGCGCGGGCTCAGCAGTTGTGGCACACGGGCTCTAGTGCGCGGGCTCAGCAGTTGTGGCACACGGGCTCAGCAGTTGTGGCACACGGGCTCTGGAGCACGGGCTCAGCAGTTGTGGCACACGGGCTCTGGGACGCGGGCTCAGCAGTTGTGGCACACGGGCTCCAGCACGCAGGCTCAGTAGTTGTGGCACACGGGCTCTAGCACGCGGGCTCAGCAGTTGTGGCACACGGGCTCTGGAGCGCGGGCTCAGCAGTTGTGGCACGTGGGCTCTAGCGCGCAGGCTATGGAGCGCAGGCTCAATAGTTGTGGCACACGGGCTCTAGCACACGGGCTCAGCAGTTGTGGCACACGGGCTCAGCAGTTGTGGCACACAGGCTCTGGAGCGCGGGCTCAGCAGTTGTGGCACACGGGCTCTGGCACACGGGCTCAGTAGTTGTGGCACACAGGCTCTGGAGCGCGGGCTCAGCAGTTGTGGCACACGGGCTCTGGCACACGGGCTATGGAGCGCAGGCTCAGTAGTTGTGGCACACGGGCTCTGGGGGTGGGCTCAGCAGTTGTGGCACGCGGGTTCTGGAGCGCAGGCTCAGTAGTTGTGGCACAAGGGCTCTGGAGCGTGGGCTCAGCAGTTGTGGCACACAGGCTCTAGCACACGGGCTCAGCAGTTGTGGCACGTGGGCTCTGGAGCACAGGCTCAGTAGTTGTGGCACGTGGGCTATGGAGCGCAGGCTCAGTAGCTGTGGCACACGGGCTCTGGGGCGTGGGCTCAGCAGTTGTGGCACACGGGCTCTAGCACGCGGGCTCAGCAGTTGTGGCACGTGGGCTATGGAGCGCAGGCTCAGTATTTGTGGCACACGGGCTCTAGAGCACAGGCTCAGCAGTTGTGGCACACGGGCTCCAGCGCACGGGCTCAGCAGTTGTGGCACACGGGCTCTGGAGCATGGGCTCAGCAGTTGTGGCACACGGGCTCTAGCGCACGGGCTCAGTAGTTGTGGCACACGGGCTCTGGAGCGCAGGCTCAGCAGTTGTGGCCCACGGGCTCTAGCACGCGGGCTCAGCAGTTGTGGCACACGGGCTCTGGAGCGCAGGCTCAGCAGTTGTGGCACACGGGCTCTGGAGCGCGGGCTCAGTAGTTGTGGCACGTGGGCTCTGGAGCGCAGGCTCAGTAGTTGTGGCACATGGGCTCTGGAGCACGGGCTCAGCAGTTGTGGCACACGGGCTCTGGTGTGCGGGCTCAGCAGTTGTGGCACACGGGCTATGGAGCACAGGATCAGTAGTTGTGGCACACGGGCTCTGGAGCGCGGGCTCAGCAGTTGTGGCACACGGGCTCTGGCACACGGGCTCCAGCGCGCGGGCTCAGCAGTTGTGGCACACAGGCTCTGGCACACGGGCTCCAGCATGCAGGCTCAGGAGTTGCGGCACACGGGCTCTGGCGCGCGGGCTCAGCAGTTGTGGCCGATGAGCGGAGCTGCTCTGCAGCACGTGTAACCTCCCAGACCCGCACTGGCAGGTGGGTTCTCAACCACTGGACCAGGGAAGTCCCAACAAAATGAAATTTTTTCCCTGAAATATGTTAATTTCCTACTCTGCTTATTAAATTGCAATTTAATGACATTTTAGATTATTTTATTTGTGCAGCTTCAATAAAAAAGAACTAAAATAAACTCACTTTTTTAAGTTTCTGGCCTCCAATACAGGGAAAGCAAATACATTTCCTCACAGTTCCAGCTCCAGTCAACTACTACTACATGAAGCACCCTGCTAAAACTGGGGCTTGGATCAGGCTCAGCAACGAACAAGTGCCAGGAGGCAGGCCAGGAAGACAGAATGGAGCAGCGGTAGACCAACAGACCTCTGGGGCAGAACCTTGTGAAGACAGTATGATGCCCAGCCTAATTTTATCCTTGCCCTTTTTTTCTCATTATCCTTTTTTTAACTAGCTACCTTTCAGCTTCCTCTTTGGTCATGCCACAACGAGTTCCCCCACTCCAAGCAAAGAGCTGGGGGCGGGGACAGGGGGGTCAAATCAATTGACATTTTCTGTCAATTCAAACTAAAAACCTGAATAGGTCAGGACTTAAAGATATAATAAACTATGTTCTGAAGCACTGATGAACAAGATGCTTTGTTGCTGTTATTCAGTTGCTCAATCGTGTCCGACTTTTTGAGACCCCATGAACTGCAGCACGCCAGGCTTCCCTTTCCTTCCCCATCTCCCAGAGTTTGCTCAAATTCATGTCCACTGAGTCGGTGATGTCATCCAACCATCTCATCTTCTCTCGTCCCCTTCTCCTCCCACCTTCAATCTTTCCCAGCATCAGGGTCTCCCATCAGTCAGTTCTTGGCATCAGGTAGCCGAAGTATTGTAGTTTCAGCTTCAGCATCACTCCTTCCAACGAATACTCAGGACTGATTTCCTTGAGGATTGACTGGTTTGATTTCCTTGCTGTCCAAGAGACTCTTAAGAGTCTTCTCCAACACCACAGTTGAAAACCGTCAGTTTTTCAGTGCTCAGCCTTCTTTATGATCCAACTTTCACATCAGTACATGACTACTGGGAAAACCACAGCTTTGAGTATATGGACCTTTGTCAGCAGAGTGATGTCTCTGCTTTTTAATTTGCTGTCTAGGTCTGTCATGGCTTCACTTTCAAGAAGCAAGCGTCTTAATTTCATGGCTGTAGTCACCGTCTCCAGTGATTCTGGAGTGAAAATAAAGTCAGTTTGTCACTGTTTCCATTGTTTCCCCATCTATTTGCCATAAGGTGACGGGACTGGATACCATGATCCTAGCTTTTTGAATGTTGAGTTTTAAGCCAGCTTCTTCACTCTCCTCTTTCACTTTCATCAAGAGGCTCTTTAGTTCCTCTTTGCTTTCTGCCCTAAGAGTGGTGCCATCTGCGTATCTGAGGTTATTGATTTCTCCCCGCAACCTTGATTGCAGCTTGTGCTTCATCCAGCCTGGCATTAAACATCATCTCCTATCTTAAAGCATCTTTTCAGATTATGGATTTACTCAGACATCCGACTGTGCGGTAGTTTGAACATTCTTTGGCACTGCCCTTCTTTGGGACTGGAATGAAAATTGACCTTCTCCAGTCCTGTGGCCACTGCTGAGTTATCCAAATTTGTTGGCATATTGAGTGCAGCACTTTAACAGCATCATCTTAATATAATTATACAAGTTACAATTAATGTTATATTAATTAAATCATGTTTATTAATATACATTTGCCCAGAGCATATGTGTCCAACATGAAGACTTCAGTCTGTTACCCTGGTCATAAAAGGGGAGTTACAATGGATAAATATAAGGACAACTTTTTGGTAACTAAATACAATTTTACACATTTTAACATCTCTGCAATCAGGATGCATCTTGCAAACCATGTGGTTGTGATCTAAGTATGTAAGTCTTCCACTGACATCAGTGAAATCACGAAAACTCCCAGCATCAAAGTAGCTCAGTTTTCCACAAACCATAAATGTGTTTCTTCTGATTCCTTATTTCAGTTCTCACTGAAAAGTCACAGTAAATCAGAGCTAGAAGGAATGGCATATATCTGGTTGAAACCAATCATTTTTACTGATACCTAGCTGAATTCCAAAAAGGAAACAGTCCCAGTTAACAGAGTTCATTAAGTAACAGAGCATGGTGCCTTTTACCACAATTAAGTTTTTTCTGTGTCTATGAACTGAGAACAAAAGTTTCCCTGGTGGCTCAGTGGTAAAGAATCTGCCTGCCAACGCAGGAGACATGAGTTCAATCCCAGATCTGGGAAGATCCCACATGCCTTGGAGCAACTAAGCCTGTGCGCCACAACTACTGAGGCTGTGCTATAGAGCCCAAGAGCTGTAATTACTAAGGCTACACAACCTAGAGTCTGTGCTCCACAACAAGAGAAGCTGCCACAATGAGAAGCCTGTGCACCATACCTAGAGAGTATAGCCCCCACTCACCACAACTACAGAAAAGTCCATGCAGCAACCAAGACCCAGCACAGCCAGATAAATAATTTTTTTTTTTAAGAGACTGCCCCTATCACTTGCAAAAATGTGCTCATGAATTTCCAAGTAACGCTTTTCCTAAACGTTTCTGGAACCGAATATAAAGTGTTTCTGCTATAATAGGAAAAACACATTTCTGAAAACCTCCCATTTTGAACAACTGCAAATTAATTAATAGCATTTATGGGAGAAAAGAAGTTGGGGCAGATAACGTATAAAACTTCTTATCAAGAGCACTAATAAGAATAATAAGTGGTACCTTGACAGAGAACTTGGACAGCCCAGCCAAGCAGCTCAGCCTAGCTGGAGGCAGCCTCAAGGAAAATGTTAAATGTACAAAATCAAGCGCAACAGTACAACTGGAAACGGAGCTCCGCACAATGAGTGCGCAAAAGCCACCTAGGACCAGGGGCTGCGTCTCCCTGGGGAGAGAGCTCTTCCATCGGGAGCGCACTTCTAATCTCTTGAAATGGAGCTAAAGGGCTGTGTAGGAACTGAGCCAAGGCTGTTCTTCCTTCCAGCCGAGGGCTATAATCCTACTAAAGCTATTATGGGCCTCCTCACTTTACAAAAACCACACAGAAATGGACACAATTTCCATCTGACATCACTCCCTTTTACTAACTGTATGTGGGAAGAGAAAACAGGATTTGGATTTTCACCTTTTCTTCAACTATTCCCAAAAAGTCACATGTTGCCATTAACACTTTGCAACTAAAAATAGTGACAAAGGCTTTAGTAAGCTTCTAAAGTATGATACATAACAAAGTCTTCTATAATACATTTTTTAATGAAACAAGAGCAATGAAGTTTGCCTATCAAATTTAACCAGCTGGAAGAAAGTATAAGAGTTGGCAAGTATCTTAGTATACAAACATTCCTCCAGATTACAGTTTCAGTAAGGAGTTCTTACCTGAAGCACAATAGGATCAATGCAAGTAAATTTGGTTTCTTCTCTGTAGAGATATTCAATGGAACACTTCAACAGAAGAATTTTGGGGTTTTTAATAGAAGAATTCATCTAAAATATAAATGAACAGTTTGCTAAAACTTTGAAAGTTTGCAATTTATAGACCTCCTTTAATCACAACTCTAAGTTCATACTGGTCATAATTCCCCTTAAATAGATTATCTCATTCTATTCAGATTAAAATACTCTCATTTATTTTGTGCTGTTATTTTTTTTCAAAGCAAATAATTAAAGCCATGCAAAATTCTTTAAAAACTGGCTTCTTTTTCACTAATGCTATTTTACCTAATTTTCTATACTCTTAACTATCTTTTTTAAAATCTCTAATGTTTTTAAAAAAACATATCACACCCTGGGTAGGAGGGAGAGGGACTTAAAAGATAGGCTACTTGATAAACTCCTAGAGATCAGCAATTCTGAAAGCACAATTTAACTTTTCTACGATTCAAGAAAAGTAGAGGAGGGAGAAAGGAATTAAAACACCTGCTGAACATATTTTTGATGGAATAAACATCCAAGCAGTCGTAAATTCGCAAGCAAAAGTGGGAAACAAGAAGTTACAACAGAAAATCTTAAAGCACATCCAGAAGTAGAGACTCAAACAATATACCCTTACCACACAACTAAAGCCACGGGCAGAGGAGCCTGCATCCTACAACAGAAGTTTCCATCTAACCAAACTTATTAGGTTCAAACTAGTAAATGCTCCTGAAAACAGGGATTCATCAGCTGGGTAACTACATTCAGGGCTAATTTTTTAGTAACTACAAATTACAGACTATCTCTAAACATGGTCATTGGGGCAAGACAGTCATTCATGCATGTGACTACCACACCCACATAACCGTTTTTAATTCTGGAGATGAGCACAACACACCTACCTCTGAATTCAACAGACATCATTTAATCTGATTTAAAGTACTACTTTGATGGGTAAAGTGCTGTTTTAATAAGACTATGTAGAAATATGGACTTTGGATCATTGCTATGAAATAATATCAAATTCAAACATAATTTTATTTATCTATGGTCATTAATACTTTTCAGCAAGTTTAATACCTTATAAAAAATATATTATTCTTCTCAGCTTAGAAAAGAGTGAAAACAGATTGCAGTTTATCCATCCAGTTACTCAAGCTTGAAATTTGCCTGAGCTCTCACTGTAACCAAACCAATAGTACCAGAGATGAGGCCGGGGTGTCTATTTTTAACACGTTCTCTTAGTGACTCTGAAGCACAGCAAGGTTTGAGAACAGTTACAGATTATCGGTTTCTCTAAAAGTGAGAACCAATAAACAAATAAACAACACTGGAAACACCCAGAGTGACTCCACTAAAAAGTAGTCCCACCCAAATGCAAATTGCTGCAGCCACTATGGAAAACAGTACAGAGTTTCCTTAAAAAAATAAAAACAGAGCTACCATATCATCCTGCAATCGTACTCCTGGGCAGACATCCAGAGAGAAACTCCAGTTTGAAAAAATACGTGCATCCCAGTGCTCACAGAAGCACTATTTACAATAGCCAAGACACAGAAGCCATCTAAATGTCCATCCACAGATGAATGGATAAAGATGTATGAAATACACACACACAGAGGAATACTACTCAGCCGTAAGAAAGAATGAATCATGACATTTACAGCAGTAAGGATGGACCTAGAGATTATCATACTAAGTAAGTCAAAGACAAGTATCATATGATATCACTTATATGTGGGATCTAAAATATGATAAAAATGAACTTATTTAAAACAGAAACAGATTCACAGACATAGAAAACAAACTTATGGTTACCACAGGGGAAAGTGCAGTGTTGGGGGCAGGGATAAATTAGGAGTTTGGAAATGGCAGCCACTGTGCATAAAACATATAAACAACAAGATCCTACAGTACTGCACAGGAAACTATATTCAATATCCTATAATAAACTTAATGGAAAATACAAAAAAGAATATATATATATATATGCATATACATATAACTGAATCACTTTGCTGTACACCAGAGACACAATACTATTAATTAACTATACTTCATTAAAATAAAATTTCTTTTAATTGGGCTTCCCTGGTAGCTCAGATGGTAAAGTGTCTGCTTACAATGCAGGAGACGTGGATTCGATCCCTGGGTTGGGAAGATCCCCTGGAGAAGGAAATAACCTACTCCAGTATTCATGCCTGAAAAATCCCATGGACTGAGGAGGCTGGTGCACTACAGTTCATGGGGTCGCAAAGAGTCGGACACGACTGAGCGACTTCACCTCACTTCACTTCTTTTATTTAAAAAGAAGTCCCACCCTTCCTCTACCCACCCCCCATTCTCACTCCCCTAAAACTACTAAATGAGAATTTCTAAGGTGTGGGCTTAGGAGTCTACATGTTTAACAAGGTCCTGATACACAGTGAAGTTTGCTAACCAGCAGCCTTCAGAACAAAGTGAAAGACAAAGCCCTCATCTGCTTCCTCCAGCCTCATTTCCAGCCAGTTCCTATCCAGTACCTTAGGGTCTCAGACTTTCCTTAGTACAAGGGGTTATTTACCCTTCTCTCTATGCTGGTGCTAGAAAGAGGCCTCACGGCTGAAGGTACAGAGAAAGATACAGAATTCCAGTCGTAATTCTGTGTTCAGCCCTATGAGGAAGAACAGAGTTTTAAAATGTTAGGCCTCTGGAAGAATTCTGGTCTGTTAGGAAATCTTTTATCCCTGAGATGTGGCAGGGTCAAGGGACACCAGCGTCCCTTCAGCTTGCTGACAGGGAAGCCTCCTTCTGTCTGATGAGTTCTCACTGTCCAAGCCCCTGTCATCATCAGCTCTGGGAGACTCTCCTTGAACCCCCAAATTTCACTGCTAGTCACTCCTTCCTGTCGAATCTCCTTTTCCTCCATGGTGAGGGCACCCTCAGCTTGCTGGCTTGGCACACAATCATAGTTTGCTGAACTTCAATGTTGAACTGAATCACATTACCTTTTTATGTGCAATATTCTTGGTGCAAACAAATCCATTGACAACCACAGAATCAAACTTCTTTCCACCTGGGATCTAATGAAACAATTAAGAAAACAATACAATCTGATATACATGTTTAGAATGCAGTCAGACGAATTCTATAAGTATTTATTTCCATTTCGTATTTTCACTATTATGCAACCAAGTAAGAACAAAAAGTTCTAGGATGCATTTCTTCCTTTCAACCAATAATTAATGGCAACTGCCTACAATCGTCAACTCTCTACCATACTATCTGGTACTCTAAAATATCCATTTGACCAAACAAATAAATGCCAGATGTCAATTAAACCACTATTAAGTTCAACACCAGAGGCAAAAGTATAGGCAAAACTCCACTATTCTCTAAATAAAACAGTGACGCACTGCTTTTCCTCAGAAGAGTGACGGCCACCTGTGAAAGAGGCCTCCTTGTGGCTGACACATCGAGAAGAGGAAGTAGGAAGTCTGGGTCCCAGCTCACTGCAAGCCCAGCTCACCCCACCCGCACCCCTCCCACTGCCTAGGAGTGGCTCTTATGGCCTTTACGTGCACTGCTGCCAAATAGGACAGAGAAACTTCCCTCTCCTCACGGAGCATCCTTCCTGGTAGCGACCCTTTCAGATTACCATTGAGACAAATTACTATCGGGCCCATCTCATGAACGCCGAACACGAGGAAAACATCGGCAGAGCTCACTTTTTTGAGGTGGACAAACTGGCGGATATCCATGTCATCATCCCGGTTCTTGACGTCGGGTCGGACTGTCTGAACGACCTGGCAGACCAGGGATACGATGATGTCCCTCCAAGACGTGGACAGTGACTCACTGTGGAGCAACTGTTGCAGCAGCGCCATCATGTGATTATGATTAGCTGAACTAGAAAAGTGTTACAGGAAAGATGTTTGCACAGTTAACACCGCCAGAGACAATAGCTCTGAAGATGCAACACGGTCTGCAAAGAAATCAGCACATGACTTAATGGCTTACAGGTAAGATCTTCTTGGTCATTTTATTCTTTCAGCATATCTGCGCCTTAATGTTTTTGCATATAAAGAAAATCTGAATATCTTCAATTAAGATAACCCACTTAAGGGAGGCTCAAGAGGAAAGAGATATATGCATACTTGTAGCTGATTCATGATGTTGTACAGCAGAAACACAACACTGTAAAGCAATTATCCTCCAATTAAAAAACTGAAAAATAAAAAAACAAAAAATCTATGGGTTTGATAAAAAAAAATGCCCCATTTAATTCAATTAAATTTTAACACATAAATAACAATGGGGATAGACAGGCACAACTAGGACTCTCTGCTTTATTAGAAGTTTCACCAGAATAGGCTTTATTTCCTAAGTAATGTTAGCATTTTTTACTTTATAAGGAAGAACTATACAAATACCTATCAAGTCACTTAAGATTAGAAAAATAGAGAATTAAAATGAATAAGCTCACTGCCTTACAGCAGCCTCTCCATAGCTTGTTTCTCTCCATTCTCCTCCCTCAGCAGCTCCAGGTTGTTATGATGCCAGCCCAAAGGTGTGAAAGGCAGTTCTTTGGATTTTTCCTCAACTCGACGGTTAAATAAGGATTCTAAGTGTAAAATAAGAAATTATATTCATTGTCAAGTTTTATACCATTTACTCAGAGATTTAGAAATCACCGACTTATCTTTTTAAATTTTTTAAGTTAGCCAATTCAAATTATTGATCTAAAAAAAGCAAGGACATGTTTAAATTCATAGATAAAAAAAATTAAGTCTGAGTTAGATCAACATTCTCAACAGCCAAAATCAGAGACACAAGTGTAAAGAGTAAATTTACATAAGCAACCAGGGCTCTCAAGAAAGTAACTATAAATACGGCTTTTGAAAAGCAAATGAACTGAGATTTGTTTACAGTCTTTTTATTTATTTGGGGATATTAAAACAGAGAGGTGGTTAATTTCCCCTATAAAATCACAAACTGAACACTGCATTCAACAGAAATCAGAATGCAAGGAGAACTTGTGACAGTGTGGGTGCTGAGAAAAGCTCAGCTTTGATTCGTCCGAACCAGGATATGACAGTCTAGAAAGTCTACTCATACAATCCTGTCAGTGTTTCTTTTTCAGTACTAGAACAAAAAAGGCTTTCTTCTTAATTGGCAAAACTTTACAAGTCAGACCAAAAAATTAACTGTGAAGAAATCAAAACACAGTAAACAGTAATTTATGTAAATGACCCGAACCCAAAAAATAAAATAAAACAGGTAATACTAAATACTTTGCAAAAAAGATGCTCACTGAATAACTTCTGAAACTGTGACTGAATAAATGGAAAGAAAAGAGGTGGAAATGCTTGTAAAATCCTCTGGTCTTTCCCCTCTTAAAGCAAACTGAACAAATGACGAAAAACCCCCAACTAAAGAGCCCAGCAGGCTCCAGAGTAAAGCCAGCGCCCACGACAAGTGAGGCACAAGGACAGCACGTTTCAGTCCTGTGAACTCTTGGTCTACAAGCATCTGGTTGGACCAGATGCTTGAAGGCGAATCTAGAAACACTTACGTTGTGACACTATCTGTCAGCGGCTGCCCTTGTTCCAGCTCGCCCTACCTGCTCTCTTTTATGCGGAACCCTCCCATTATCTGAGGCCTAGGCTGTAGCGTGTTATGGACCAAATAAGTGTGCCTTCACTCCACAGCAAGCTAAGTAGGGATAGGGACAGGAAAGGTTTGTATTCTTCTGCACTTCCTTTCATCCCCATGGAAATGATAAGCAGGATTAGTTCTTATTTCCTTCAGTCCACTTGTTGTCCAAATCCAGAGAGCAAGCAGCATCCTCAATTAGATGAGATCTGCCTGTGGCTTTTTGATAAGCTTGACAATCACTTGATGATATGTCTATCAATACTTAATACTATATTCGTGATACAGAAAAGCATATTCGTGATACAGAAAAGCCTTTAAGTGAATAAAATTCAAAATCTAGTTAAAGACTTTTAAACAATTATTTTTCAGATCAGAGACCTCTCAAACTAAGTCCAAGTTTATATTTTTGGTTCTCAGCAGTCTCAAGGCTACTACACATATTGAAAAACCGTGTTCCTATGGTGCTAAAATAATATAATGCATTGTCGGTACTCAGTCAGCGCCAGTCAGTATCCTGGGCCCACAGTATATCTCCATGAACAAGAGACACCATCCCACGTATAGCTTTTGGTAAAATTACCTTTGATGAAGGCGTCGCTTATTGATAGCTGTTGTCCTCCATTGTCAGAAATCAAATACTCTGCATGCCAGGGAGAGAACAGAGAGAGGAGGAAGGAAAGGAGAGGCCTATGATTATAACAGGCGAGCGTAATTATACAGAAAACACACCCACACACAAAGTATTACTCACACTAAACCCATTGCAGCCAAGTCACGGAAACTTTAGGCTAAAATGTCGGTTTATAACTTGTTCTGCACACTTCATACTAGACTTGATAAGACTTAATAACTCAACAGAGCCATGAGACAGCAATGACAGATAATCTTTTTAACAGATCATTTTTCCCTTATCAAATCTGAACTGCTTTATGAAAACTGAGGTCTGTCATGGATTTGCATGACAAGCCTAAAAAGTTACACTCTTTTTCTCATCCACAGCCATATTATATAACAAATAATGAGTTCAGATAGAGAGCATACTGCATAAAAAAATATAAGGTGGGGTTTTTTGAATTTCAAAATATAAGCTATAAAACAAATTAATACAAAAATGATAATAGAAGGGAATTAAGACATAACTCATCAGGATTATATTAGTTTTTAATTTGAGTTTTAATGTTTCAAAAATTCTAACCAAACACTTCCAAATAGTTGCCAAAAGATAACTTCTGAACACACTCTGAATGTGTTCTTTCAAAACTTTTAGAATATTAAATATTACAAGTGAAACTTATTCTTTACTTTCACATGACCTTTCCTCTAGATCTGTGACCAAGCACAGCTCAAATGAGGTTCTTTCTACCATGAAAATTTAACCACAATGCATTTTAAGTCCTTTAAGGTAAAGGTGATCCACAAAATTCTTTCCAAGTAGATCTCATTTATAAACAAAAGGGCTCCAAAAGTCAATGTGTTTATAATCCAATACACTAATCCTTCAAAACAAAAAAGCAGAGAAAAAAAAATTTAGCAAACTCAAGTGTACCATGCCAAATACAATATAATCAAGTATGTGGATCAGTGAAAACAGATATGATACTTTATTTCTACACCTCCCTCACAGAAATTAAAAATGCCAATGCCTGTTTATACAGAGGCTTTAGAAGCTTTACTCTTCAGTCTAAAGGATATATATGTACATATGTCTATATCTATATAAAATTTCAGAAGCAATGGATTTTCCCCATTTTATTATGAAAAAACTTTAAACATACAGAAAACCCTATATATCCTCCACCAAGACTGAACAATTGTTAATGACTCGCCATATCTGATTTCTCTGTGTGCTTTCTTCCCAGACAATTTGAAGTTACACGTATCATGACATTTTACCACTAGTACTTCAGCATGCATCTCTTAAAAAATAAGAGCATTCTTCTCTAGATCCATAATATTTACACACTTAAGAAAACTGACAATTTCTTAATATCATCATATTAGTCCATATTCAAGTTTATCTGTTTCCAAAATGCTTTAATAAATTTTTTTTCCCCTCCAACCTGGATCCATTAAAGTTCATACATTACATTCTCTTCATTTTCTCTTAATCTAAAGTAGACCTTCTACCTTTTTCTTTCTCCTGATATTGAATTTTGAAAAAATTCAGGCCAAATGTCACATTCTGGATTTGATGGATTGTTTCCTCACGGTGCTGTTTAACTTGCTCTTATACCCCCATGTTTCCCTATAAATGTGGAGTTAGGTCTAGGAGTTTGAGGAAGTCATGCTTTTCATTTTCTTTTCTAGGTACTACTTTCCAAGAATAGTTCAGAATCCTGCTTTCAACACATAATAAAATATATTCTAACTGCATAACCCTCCGTAACAAACAGTGAGAAATTAATCAAACCAGAACATCACACTGACTCAGTTTTACAAGTTCCTGAAAATGAGTTAGCTTATGTAATACAAAAAACATGAGCATCGTCTTAAACATAGATACTTCAACAAATTTTAAAAATTCATATTTCCTCAGTGTTAAAAGCTAGAGAACAATCCCTAAGAAAAGATTTAACAATTTTAGTAACCATTAATTTTAATGGAAAGAAAAGAATCACCCATTCTCATTTGTATTTAAGAGAAATGAAAACCAGATGCAGGGGAAATCTACTATTCTTTGATTTTCTGAACTAGATCATTCTGTTGACTTTTTTTCTGGTAACCAGTGTTCCTCTCAATTACAGTGCAGAAAAAAATAATTTATTATGTCTCAACTTCACAAAATAGAAAAAAAAATAATAATTCTTGTTATTATGCTAAAAGCTAACAAGAGAGAAGTGTAAAAGCCAGAGACATTTACTAAGGGGTAAAAGTCCTCAAATCACAGGCTCTCTGCAGTCAGTCTACTGAGAAAGAAGGTAGTTTTTCTGGTGTGTGTGTGTGTGTGTGTGTGTGTGTGTGTGTGTGTGCGCGCACACATACATGGGCTGCCCCGGTAGCTCAGACAGTAAAGAATCCTCCTGCAACGCAGGAGACCTGGGTTCCATCTGGAATATTACTCAGCCATGAAAAAAGAATGAAATCTTGCTATTTGTGAAAACATAGGTTGACCTAGAGAGCATTATGCTAGGTGTAATAAGTCAGAGAAATACAAATAGTGTATGATTTCCCTTATATGTGGAGTCTAAAAACAAAACAAATGAATAAACAGAACAGAAATAGAGTTATAGATACAGAGACCAAACAAGTGGTTGCCAGAGAGGAGGAGAGTGGAAGAAGGAAAGAAAGAGGTGAGGGAGATGAAAGGGTACAAACTTTCAGTTGCAAAATAACTAAGTCATGGGTATGAAATGTATCATATGGGGAATATATTCAATAACTGTATAATATCTTCATATGGTGACATATTGTACTGAACTGGCAATCATTTCAAAATGTATAGAAAGATGGAATCACTGTTGATCAATTATACTTCAAAAACAAACTCAGAAAAAGAGATAAGATTGGTGGTTACTAGAGGAAGGGCATGGGGGAAGGGGAACTGGATGAAGGCAGAGAAACTTTGAAGGAGGTTCAAACTTTCAATACCAGGGACGTAATGTATAACACAATAAATATAATCAACACAGCTGTATATATATATGAAAATTTTTAAGAGTAAATTCTAAGAGTTCTGATCATAAAGAAAAAAATTTTTTCTATGTCTTTAATTTTGTATCTATGTGAGATGATGGATGTTCACTAAACTTATACTGTGATGAAAATGTGAAGTTGGACGCTCAGTCATGTCCGACTCTGCGACCCCATGGACTGTAACCTACAAGGGTCCTCTGTCCATGGGATTTTCCAGGCAAGGGTACTGGAGTGGGTTGCCGTTTCCTTCTCCAGGGGATCTTCCCGAGCCTAGGATCGAACCCAAGTTGCCCACATTGCAGGCAGACGCTTTACCATTTAAGCCATACTGTACACCTTAAAATTACATACTGCTTTTTGTCAATTATATCTCAATAAAACTAGAAGGGGGGGGGGGGGCGGGGGATAACAACAGCAACAACCAGGCACTCTCTATCTCCTCATTATCTTGGATTTCACTTCTTAGCAGTGAGTGTTCTTTCTTATCTTGACAAAAGTGAGGGGAAAAAAAAAAAAGCTTCAGTTAATACTATATCAACTTCCCCAAATAACTGACCTAACTTTTCTTTCTTTGCATCACAATTTTAAAAATCTTTTCCAAGATATCCTTGACATTTCCTGCAGTTTTCAGTACAATCTGGACTTCTGCTAACCTGCCACTTTTTTTAAAGCACTGACCCCTCTTTCAGACGGATCCTCATATGAAGGCTAACTCTCATAATTTTTGTAGAAAAAACAAAAAATGTTTTTAAAGGTTGAGGTCAGAAAATTGCCAGAGGAGTTGTGACAGTTTTTCCCACTGTCGGTGCTTCCCCTTTCATTTTCCTTAGAAATACAATTCGAGGGTGCACTGTCAAAACATCATTCTTCCTCTATGTCATTCTTCTCCTAACATTATAAAGTTGGGTTTCCTAAAGCAAATGCTTGACTGGGCTCAGCAGCTCACTTTTTGCTATTATGAATTTCATGATGTCAGGTCACTTTCTTCATGATTTCAAAAGCTCCTTAACTTTTCAAGAGATGAAATCATCAACAAGTCAAAAATGTATTTCATAACTCTCCTTTCAGCACAATGAAATTGCCAACAACTACGTCCAGAGAACAGATACCTCTACAGATCATGCCACCTCTGAATCACATCTGTCATTCATATGACAGAAATCCAAACGCTCCACATGACCACCACCCACAGTTAATTCTCACCCAAGTGCCCACCCAATCTGTTCACTGTCCTTTCATACTCACCCAATGTTCACCACCATTTTTCCAATTTCTGCCTTGAGGATTCTGACAAAGATGTGTATCATACTCATGTTCAGTGCTAGTAAGGGCTCTCCTTTTCTTAAACTGGCTTTTAATTATATCCAACAAAGTAAGCCTCATCACCCATTTTTTTTAAAAAAGCATTTCTTTTCTGCATACTGCTATGTTCAATTTTAGTAATGGCTTAACCTTATTTTTCCTTTTATACCAAATGTCCTTTGAATTATGATTTTTGAGTCAGTAGACTAAAACCTCAAATAGGACAGCTAAAAGAATGATTTTTTTGTTTTTGTATTAGAGAAGAAATCTTGTTTTACAAATACAGCATTTTACACAACAAGCATTTTAAATAATAAAGATGCTTTGGAATGTGTGAATGTTTTTCACCAATCTAATTCAAGCATCTGGAAAGGTTTAGTGAAACACTATGCTACTGGGTAACAGCATAAGCAAAGAGGCTTTAAAATATTAAATGAAAAAAGAGAAATGAATAGAGCAGAACATCCATGTTATAATGCAAAGAAATGCCACCTTGGAAGTTGCACATTATGCTAAGGGAAAAGTAGTCAGATGCTGTTCCCTTTAATGACTATAAGCCTTAAGCTGGGTGTGGTGGTACTAAGGGAGGAAACAAGAAATGAAAAGAACTGGAACCAACCAAAAAGAAAAAAACATGTGGAGAAGAGGTGTGGGAAAAATGAGAAAGGGTGGACCAAAACCCACAGCAAATCCCCTCAGCCACGGGGACAGAGGAAGCAAGAAGGAAAGGCCGGATGAGATCCACGGCCCAACTCTCCAGCCTGTGTTCGGATTCCAGGTGGTGACTCCCTCCTACCTTTTTGGTCAGCAGGGTGAGGGGGCACATGTGGGTACTTGGAGGGCTTCTTGATATGGAAGTTCACGTTGTCCAGCTCCACGTTCAGGCTGATGGAAGCAGCTGAGTCACTGTCCACTGTGGACTGGAAACTGCTGACTGATGTGCGCTTGCTAGGACTGGCAGAATCTTTTAGTGTTGGGGAGGGGAAAGAAATATAGGGAGAGGAGGGGAGTAAAAATGGGTTTCATCAGGGTATTGGAGGAAAGGAGAAAAATGTCTTTTTTTAATATACAAGCCCAATGTGCAATACCAAAATGGATACAGTACTTTCATGTAGTGATACTTCTGTGTAGACTTAATAAAATTTGAACCAGTTAAATATAAAATGAATTTTTTAAATAAAGAAATATATTGGAGGTTCTGCAGAGAGAAGGCCTGATATCATAGCAAAGAGGTGAGAAAGTTGTCTACTGCAATATTATTAGCTCGGAGTTATTTTTAAGCTGCTGCAAACTAAAGACTACAGCGAAATCTGAAAACATCAGTGGTTTAACAAATTGGTTTCTTAAGAAAATACTGTATCTAGGACAATGATTGCTATCAGGTGTTCTTTACGTTTAGCTGAAGCCATAAAACTTAACAGTAGGATTGTTTCAACTAAATAAACAAAACACCCTATCATACATATACGTTAATGATTCATAAAAACTAAAACGTCAGAAAGTGAAACTCACTAGTCAAATTATCGTCACCTTCTTCAGCTATCTGCTCAGTGTCACTGTCATCAAACTTGATGTCTTTAAACCAGGACGGCTCAGAGTGTCCTTCCACGGAGTTCACCGAGTCACTGTCCGGAGAAGGGGTCTCGGAAAATTCTGTACTCTGAAAGGGTCAAGACAGGATCCAAGCAATTGACCCACAGTGGCAACAATATTGAGGCTGTCACACTACAAATAAATTTTAGCCTAATATTTGTATAAGGCTAACCACTGAATACATTAAATAAGCAAATCAGTAGAAACTTAAGTTGCAAGCCAGCGTCATAACTGGCAATTCCACTCTTACAACTATGATATTCATGAATCAGCAGGCTAAAAGGCAGCATATTATGACCAAACATATTATACAGATTTTATAGTGTTTCATTTCTTTTATTCCTGAGAGTGAAGGCTTAGAACTTATCACAACCCTGTGCCAATGCTAGGACACAACTTGGAAAACTGTTAGATTTTCAGACATACCACCACCAGTCTTTGGGATCATCCATCTTTTCTACCCAATGATTTTCCAACTGTAGTTCACAAAGGTGTTACCAGATTACTATTTTATCAAATTAACAAAAAACAAAAAGCTTATTTCGTTACTTGGTAACGAAGCTCTCTGGACTCTCATTGGCCGCACCACTGAACATACCTGCAGTGGTCTGTACAGAGCGTACTCATCCCGGAAGAGCTGGTCGTGATGACTGACACAGTCCAGCCAACGTCCATCCACCATCGCCTGTCCAATTGCTATAGCCTGTGCCCTGAATCAAGACCAGAGAAAACGAAAACTCTTAAGAGAATAATTTTACAAGATGAGACACAAACTGAATTTACTTTCTACGCTAATCAGAGTTGGAACTTCAAACAGTCCTTGGATAGGTGAGGGATAAAACAAGAGAGATTTGAAGCTTAATTAAAAGATTTTCTCAGTACCACAGTAAAGAAGAACCTACAGAGAAGGCAGTCCCAACAAGACCTAATTTCAATTACACAAACATCAACAAGTGCTCAAGGCAAGCATCACTAGTTCAGTTCAGTCACTCAGTCGTGTCCGACTCTTTGCGACCCCATGGACTGCAGCACGTCAGGCCTCCCTGTCCATCACCAACTCCCAGAGATTACTCAAACTTGTGTCCATAGACTCGGTGATGCCATACAACCATCTCATCCTCTGTTGTCCCCTTCTCCTCCCGCCTTCAATCTTTCCCAGCATCAAGGTCTTTTCCAATGAGTCAATTCTTCCCATCAGGTGGCCAAAGTATTGGAGTTTCAGCTTCAACATCAATCCTTCCAATGAATATTCAGGACTGATTCCCTTTAGGATGGACTGGTTGGATCTCCTTGCTGTCCAAGGGACTCTCAAAGAATCTTCTCCAACACCACAGTTCAAAACCATCAATTCTTCAGTGTTCAGCTTTCTTTATAATTCAACTGTCACATCCACTGATCTTAGCATCTTGAATGTTGAGTTTTAAGCCTGCTTTTTCACTCTCCTCTTACACCTTCTTCAAGAGGCTCTTTAGTTCCTCTCTGCTTTCTGCCATAACGGTGGTGCCATCTGCATATCTGGGGTTACTGATATTTCTCCCAGCAATCTTGATTCTAGCTTGTGCTTCATCCAGCCTGGCATTTCTCACAATGTACTCTGCATATAAGTTAAATACGGTGACAATATACAGCCTTGACATACTCCTTTCCTGATTTGGAACCAGTCTGTTGTTCCATGTCCAGTTCTAACTGTGGCTTCTTGACCTGCATACAGATTTCTCAGACGGCAGGTCAGGTGGTCTGGTATTCCCATCTCTAAGAATTTTCCACAGTTTGTTGTGACCTAAACAGTCAAAAGCTTTGGTGTAGTTCAATAAAGCAGAAGTAGATGTTTTTCTGGAACTCTCTTGCTTTTTTGATGATCCAGCGGGTGTTGGCAATTTGATCTCTGGTTTCTCTGCCTTTTCTAAATCCAGCTTGAACATCTGAAAGCTCACGGTTCATGTACTGTTGAAGCCTGGCTTGGAGAATTTTGAGCATTACTTTGCTAGCATGTGAGATGAGTGCAATTGTGCAAGCATACCCCTGTACTTAGTAGAGGAGGATAAAAAAGACTGTTGAGAACAGTATGGCTCCTGTCCTCGAGGAGCTTATAGTCTTTGAGGAGAAGACAATACCAAATATTATAGATGTAGGTATAAAATGTATATATATACACACAAACATATATATATACATGAAATAGACACTAACACATTGGATTTATATGGCATTTCACAATTTATCAAACAATTTAGTCCATATTATTTCATTTCATTTTCACAGCTTCTTCACAGGATCATATTTTCGTATTTTTCTCACTGGAGCTGAGAGGTCAAGTCTCAAAGAGACTGAATAACTTCACAGAGGGCATAAAGTTAAAAAAAGATGCAACACGAACTGGAAGCCAGGGCTTCACCGTTTACAGCTGCTCCTTCTCTTCCACATGCTTGTTTCTTCCTACGGGAGGAGGAGTAGCTACTCTAAACAAGCAGAAAAGCCAAGCGACACACCACCCTCAAAGGCAACAGGACCTGTCTGGTGCTTTCACACGAATGATCTGTGAGGCCGGCTAGCACACTCTAGGTGTGGCTAATGGACTCAGTTCTGAAGACAGGTTGAAAGTCCACATTAGGGAGCAGAAACAGGAGAACCACTGTGGCCTTAGGTTCTAGCTATATTCCCCAGTCCTGCTTAACTGTAGAGCTCTGAGTTTGGGGGACTACTGCACATTTCTGCTTTTAATAAATAAGTTAAACTGTGACCCCCATCGGGCTCCTTGCATCTACTTATTACAACTCAAAAGGGAGGAGGGTTGAGTAACTAACACCCCAAACACCACATGCAGAAATCAAACAGCATCCTACTCAGAAAGAACACTGTTCCCGTTATGATGGCATGTCATTAAAGATCAATTCATAAGCTGTTCTTGAGACCCACTACCTTGTAGCAATGTGTCCATTCCGGATTAGCCAGTTGACTAACTCCTTGCCGACAATGCAGTTGGGGTGTGTTCTCAGCCAGTAGCGGTGGTCCTGGAACTCCATCCCGCTGCTGTGATGGCAGATCTTCTTCCAGAGGTCTTTTAACTGAACGCTGTCCTGAAATCACGTCATGAGCAAGCAGTTACTCCTGAGAAAGAGACTACACACTTTTCAGATTTCCTCCTGTGATTTTTAGACTCATGAAAGGAAACTCGATTCAGATTTCTTTGTCAGAGCTGACTTACATGATTTAATAGAAATGACACATGCATGGAGAACAGTTTGTATTCAGCTCATCTAATTCCAAACAACTTTTTCTCTTGGGGAAAAACTATCCCAAGTAATTTTTTTTTTTTCAGTGAATGGCACATATTATCAGTCTCCTGATTATCTGAGCACAAAATTTCACATCCCTCTTTGGAGACAGAACAAATAAGAAAGGAACAATCACATTACTCTAAAGTAACTGTTTCTGCAGCTTTCACTTCACCATATTCTCACCTATACCCAACTTTCACCAGGGAATTACTCCCTGCTCAAGAACACTTCAATACTGCTCAGCATCTACAGGTTCTAATCTAAAACTTACAAAGACTGAATTCACCACCTTCCACCAAGTAGCCCCAAATAACTTTCCATTCTCATTGCCCACAGAATCAAACTTAATATCCCTCCGAACCTCTCCCAAATAATAAACTCTAATTCGGTCCATGGAAAATGCCAGGCTTATTCTCACCTCTATACCTTTCCCCACACTTTAAATAAGATTTTCTTCCTTCACTGCCCACCCAAAACTATTCGATCCTTCAAGGTCCAGTGCAAGCCTTTCAGTTTAAAGCCTTTCCTGACTTCTCCACTACTAGTGCGCTTCCTATTTTTTAACTACTAAAGTATTACTTCTTTTACTAGTAGGGACCTGCTCATTGACCTCATTTTTACTTTCTGAATGATAAACCTGAGGAGTGAAACCATATCTTCTATTTCTTTGAGTCACTCTTATGATTGAACACAGTAGTTTACAGAGATAAATTCAATAAACAATTGATTACTACCTACTTAAACATATAATATTAGATGTCTAAAAAGTATTCCACGTGTATGAGAAACATATCCCAAAGTTTAAGCAGCAATCTGGGATGTAACTCAAAGTCAAGCTCTAGAATTATGGAAGCACCTGAATTCTGATCTTTATAGTGGTCAAGAAAATATTAATGCAGGGTATGAGCATGGGCTGCTTGACCAGTTTCAGGTGAGCCTAATAAAAACTTAAGCAAATTAGTTCCTCTATTTAATTAATATGCTAACTGGCTATTTCAATTTCATTTGCCTTTAAAAAAAAAAAATCAATGAGATGAAACATTCTTCATGCTCAAAACTTGCAATGGGTCAAAAATACTGGACCGGTACCAGAAGAATTTTGCGTTCATCCTCAGTGGTCTCTGCCCGAACATACGTTCGGTTAGCCTGGGGACTGACAGACGTCTCGTATGATGGTACCATTGGAGACCCAGATCGATCCAGTGACAGATTAGTAATGCTGGCTGATCTGGAAATTGAAAACAGAAAGTGAAAACACAGTTGTAAATTCTTCATCAACAGAGAGAACGACCGTGAAAGTTCATTTTTAAATAAATGCTTATTTGCCAATGTTAGGGGCACTTTTAAAAGTAGTTGTGATGGTTGTGTATGACACTATTACTGGGAAGCTGGAAGAAGAGTATCCAGGAATTCTCTGCACTATTATTTCCAACTTCTAAGTTAGTCTGTAATTATTTCAAGTTATGTTTAAAAGGAAGTCATTATGAGAGGATTATAGGAAAAAATTATATTTGTAGTGCATATAGCAGTAATATCCCAAACAAAATAGGTACAAACTCTTCTAAAAATGATGAAAATTAGGGTGTTTTCTTTCTGAACTGATGAATATAAAGCATCAGTCCAAACGCAGCTCTCTCTGCATTCCTACACATACCACAAGTAATACTGTAATTTGTCCCATCTTTTAAAACACTATCTTGACTTTGCATTCCTCTGCTGCATTCCCGCTTCAGTACAACAAAACTCATCTCCAACTCTTCTTTCACTCTCTCTAGAATCCTGAACAACCCACTGAACTGCCTATACCAATATTTATTGTTCACAGTCAAGTTTTCACTCCTCATTTGACAGAGCAGCAGGATAACTCCCTCTTCTTTGAAATACTTTCTTCTCCTGGCTACTAGGACAACCTACTGTCCTGGCTTCCTCTGACCTTATCACTCACCTCTCCTTCCCAGGCTCCTTTTCTGGTTCCCCTTCATTTCCCCAATCCTGGTCCTTGGTCCTTACTTCCTCACTTTCCACACTTACTCTCTCGATGTTCTCACACAGGTTCATAGTTTTAAATATGATTCACATGATAACACCACCCAAGTTTATATCTCAGACTTGAATCCCTGTCCTGAACTCTAGATTTATACATCCAACTATCTGATATCTCAGTTGGATGTCTAGAGGTATCTCAAATTCAACATGTCTAAAACTAAACTGTTCCTCCTTGTCTTCCCCATATCAATAAATGGCAACTCTGTCATTTCAACTGCTTAGGCAGGAATAAAGCAAGACTGTCCTCTCTTGACATTTATTTTCAAAATCATACTGGGAACATAAGCTAATGAAATAAGAAAAGGTAATAAAGGAATACAGAATGGGAAAAAAGAATTAAAACTGTCTTTCTTCATAGACGACATGACCATCTATGTAAAAATCTGAAAAGATCAACCAAAAAACTCCCAAAATTATAACAAGATTGCAAGATGCAAGATTAATATATGAAAGTCACTCACTTTCCTATACCAGCAATGAACAAATGAAATTAAAAATTAAAACACATTACCATTTACATCAGCATTCCCCAAAACGAAATACTCAAGTATAAATCGAAATACATACAAGATCTGAATGAAGAAAACTACAAAACTTTGATGAAATATATCAAGGAATTAAGTATATGTCATTGTTCATGGATAAGAAAACTCAATATTGTCATGATATTAGTACTTCTCAATCTGATCTATGGATTCAATACAATCTCAGTCAAAATGCTAGCAAGCTGTTCTGTACATAATGAAAAACTGATTCTAAGGTTTATGTGTTGAGGTAAAAGGCCCTTAGCCAGTGTAATATGGAAGGAACGAACAGAAGAGTGATACATACAACTTAAAGACTCACCATAAAGCCACAGTAACTAAGGAAATGTGGTATTAGCGAAAGAATAGACAAATACCATCAGTGGAACAAAACGCAGAGCCCAGAAACGGGTCCACAGAAGAGGCACTAACCTCTGATGAAGGAGCAAAGGCAGTTTAATGGAGCAAAGATAGTCTTCTCAAGAAATGGTGGTAGAACTGGACATCCACATGCAAAATAATATTAACCTAGACACAGACCTTTTTAGACCTAGACTGTTCTAAAAAATTAACTCAAAATGAATCAGATCTAAATGCAAAATGCAAAGTTAACTCCTGGAAAATAACATAGGAGAAAATCTAGATGGCCTTGGGTACTGAGATGACTTTTTAAATACAACACCAAAGCATCATCCATGAAAAACTGATAGGCTGACTTCATTAAAATCAAAAATGATGAGCATAAATATGTCTTCTATGCTCTGCAAAAGACAACATCAAGAATTAGAAGACAAGCCACAGACTTGGAAAAAACATCTGCAAAGAATTTCTTTGACAAAGGGCAGTTATCCAGAACATACAAAGAACTCTAAAGACTCAACAATAAGAAAACAACTCAGTTAAAAAGCAGGGCAAAGACCTAGACAGACACCCCACCAAAGAAGGTATACAGACAGCAAGGATGGGAGCATATGAAAACATGTTCAGCATCACATGTCATAAGGGAATCGCACATTAAAACAATGAGTCAGCATTATACACCTATCAGAATGGTCGAAATCCAGAATACAGATGACACCAGATACTGGCAAGGACAGGGAACAACACAACTCCCATTCATGGTTGGTACAGCTACTATCGAAAGCAGTTTCTTACAGAACTAAACATACTCTTAACTGTAGGATCCAGTAATCACACTCCTTAGTATTTATCCAAATGAATGAAAAATGTATCTACATGAAAACTTGCATATACATGTTTATAGAAACCTTACTCATCGTTGCCAAAACATGGAAGCAACCAAGATGTCCTTCAGTAGGTGAGTGGATAAATAAACTGTTGTAGTTCCAGACAATGGACTATTCTCCAATGCTAAAAAGAAATGAGCTATCAAGCCAAAAAAAACCCATGGAAGAAACTAAAATGCATATTGCCAAGTGAAAGAAATCAATCTGAAAAGGCTACATACTGTATGATTCCAACTATGTAACATTCTGGAAAAGGCAAAGCTATGAAGACAGTAAGAAGATGTGTGGTTGCCATGGGTTGGGGGGAGTAAGGAATCAATAAGTAAAGCACAGAGGATTTTTTATAACACTGAAACTATTCTGATCTCTACTTCAGTGGTGAATATAAGTCATTACATATTTGTCCAAACCCCCAGAACATACAACACCCAGAACAAACTATAGACTTGAGTAAAAATGATGTGTCACTGTAGGTTCATCAACTGTAACAACATACCACTGTAGTGTGGGATGTTTATTTATAATGCGGGACATTGTGGGGAGAAGCTATATGGGAACTCTCTGCACTCGCCAATCAATTCTGCTGTGAACCTACACTGCTCTACAAAATGAAGTTTATAAGCTTTTTTAAAAGTAAAAGATGATGATGTCTGCAACTTACTCTCAAACAGTCCAGGAAAAAAAAAAGTAAATGGGCAAAATGTAAACTAGTGAATCTTAATGAAGAATGTATGAAAACTTATTCCACTCTATTTCTTGCAACTCTTTTGCAAGTATAAAATTTTCTCAAAATAAATAAAAAATGAAGCTCTGTAACAGCTTCCCATTCACTGATTAATGCCAAACTCCTTACAATGAACAGTAACAGGTTCCACTGCTGCTACACAGGACTCCCAGTTACTCCCTGCCAGGCATCTCTCCCCTCGGAAACCAGCTGCTCCCAGCCTGCTCGGTAAACTGCCCTGTAAAATGTCCGCATGGGTTACTCTCCACATCCTCAAGTCTTTGCTCAGACATCACCCTCTCTGTGAGGTCCTCACTGAGCATGCTATTCAAAATTCCAACCTCCTCCCCTATTCCTTAGGCTTTTGTGAGCTTTAAACTTCTGTCTGATTCACTACTGTACAACAAATACCTAGTTTGCAGGCACTTATCAATTACTTGCTGAAAGAATAAACTGAATGTATGTTAAACCATGGTGAGTCAGATGCCTATTCCTTCAGGTTTAAAACAACTTGCTCACCAATTAACTTCGTAATAATTGAAAGTGTGTTTTCAGGGAGAGATGTGGATGTTAGTACAATTCTAGCAGGGTGAAAAGGAAATGAGCAGTGACAGAACAATTATAAGCCAACTATTTCAAAGAATTTGGCTAAGAAAATATATTGAGAATATAGAAAACTATAGGCAAAACACAAAGGAAGGGGGTTTGTTTGTTTCTTTTTAATAGGTAAGACCTCAATTTGTTTAAATGCAGATAGTAAAGAGTCAGCAGAGAGAAATGAAAGATAAGGAACATTAATATGGTGACGAATAAGAATGATCATTTCAATATCACAGTAATCCAACTCTATGCCCCGACCAATAACGCTGAAGAAGCTGAAGTTGAACAGTTCCATGAAGACCTACAAGACCTTGTAGAACTAACACCCAAAAAAGATGTCCTTTTCATTATAGGGGACTGGAATGCAAAAGTAGGAAGTCAAGAAACACCTGGAGTAACAAAGAAATTTGGACTTGAGGAGTACAGAATGAAGCAGGGCAAAGGCTAATAGAGTTCTGCCAAGAGAACGCACTGGTCATAGCAAACACCCTCTTCCAACAACACAAGAGAAGACATGGACATCACCAGATGAGTGACGCCAAAATCAGATTGATTATATTCTTTGCAGCCAAAGATGGAGAAGCTCTATACAGTCAGCAAAAACAAGACCGGGAGCTGACTGTGGCTCAAATCATGAACACCTTATTGCCAAATTCAGACTGAAATTGAAGAAAGTGGAGAAAACCACTAGACCATTCAGGTTTGACCTAATTCAAATCCCTTATGATTATACAGTGGAAGTGAGAAATAAGATTTAAGGGACTAGATCTGACAGAGTGCCTGATGAACTATGGACGGAGGTTTGTGACACTGTACAGGAGACAGGAATCAAGACCATTCCCAAGAAAAAGAAATGCAAAAAAAGCAAAATGGCTCTCTGAGGAGGCCTTACAAATAGCTGTGAAAAGAAGAGAAGCCAAAAGCAAAGGAGAAAAGGAAAGATATTCCCATTTGAATGCAGAGTTCCAAAGAATAGCAAGGAGAGATAAGAAAGCCTTCCTCAGTGATCAATGCAAAGAAATAGAGGAATACAATAGAATGGGACAGACTAGAGATCTCTTCAAGAAAATTAGAGATACCAAGGGAACATTTCATGCAAAGATGGGCTCAATAAATGACAGAAATGGTGTGGACCTAACAGAAGCAGAAGATATTAAGAAGAGGTGGCAAGAATACACAGAAGAACAGTACAAAAAAGATCTTCATGACCCAGATAATCACAATGGTGTGATCACTCACCTAGAGCCAGACATCCTGCAATATGAAGTCAAGTAGGCCCTAGAAAGCATCACTACAAACAAAGCTAGTGGAGGTGATGAAATTCCAGTTGAGCTATTTCAGATCCTAAAAGATGATGCTGTGAAAGTGCTGCACTCAATATGCCAGCAAATTTGGAAAACTCGGCAGTGGCCACAGGACTGGAAAAGGTCAGTTTTCATTCCAATCCCAAAGAAAGGGAATGCCAAAGAATGCTCAAACTACTGCACAGTTGCACTCATCTCACATGCTAGTAAAGTAATGCTGAAAATTCCCCAAGTCAGGCTTCAGCACTACGTGAACATGAACTTTCAGATGAACGTTCCAGCTGGTTTTAGAAAAGGCAGAGGAACCAGAGATCAAATTGCCAACATCTGCTGGATCATCAAAAAAGTGAGAGAGTTCCAGAAAAACATCTATTTCTGCTTTATTGACTATGCCAAAGCCTTTGACTGTGTGGATCACAATAAACTGTGGAAAATTCTGAAAGAGATGGGAATACCAAACCACCTGACCTGCCTCCTGAGAAATCAGTATGCAGGTCAGGAAGCAACAGTTAGAACTGGACATGGAACAAAACTGGTTACACATAGGAAAAGGAGTACGTCAAAGCTGTATATTGTCACCCTACTTATTTAACTTATATGCAGAGTACACTATGAGAAACACTGGGCTGGAGGAAGCACAAGCTGGAATCAAGATTGCCAGGAGAAATATCAATAACCTCAGATATGCAGATGACACCACCCTTATGGCAGAAAGTGAAGAAGAACTAAAGAGCCTCTTGATGAAAGTGAAAGAGGGTGAAAAAGTTGACTTAAAGCTCAACATTCAGAAAACTAAGATTATGGCATCCAGTCCCGTTACTTCATGGAAAATAGATGGGGAAACAGTGGCTGACTTTATTTTACTGGGCTCTGAAATCACTGTGGATGGTGATTGCAGCCATGAAATTAAAAGACGCTTACTCCTTGGAAGAAAAATTATGACCAATCTAGACAGCAGAGACATTACTTTGTCAACAAAAGTCCGTCTAGTCAAGGCTATGGTTTTTCCAGTAGTCATGTATGGACGTGAGAGTAGAACTATAAAGAAAGCTGAGTGCCAAAGAACTGATGCTTTTGAACTGTGGTGTTAGAGAAGAGTCTTGAGAGTCCCTTGGACTGCAAGGAGATCCAACCAGTCCATCTTAAAGGAGATCAGTCCTGGGTGTTCATTGGAAGGACTGATGTTGAAGCTGAAACTCAAATACTTTGGCCACCTCATGTGAAGAGTTGACTTATTGGAAAAGACCCTGATGCTGGGAAAGATTGAGGGCAGGAGGAGAAGGGGATGACAGAGGATGAGATGGTTGAATGGCATCACCGACTCGATGGATGGGTGGACTTCGGGAGATGATGATGAACAGGCAGGCCTGGCGTGCTGTGGTTCATGGGATTGCAAAGAGTCAGACATGACTGAGCGACCTAACTGAACTGAACTGAATAAGAAAGAATAAGGGATGACAAGCAGAATACAAATGGAGAAGCAAGGTGAAGAGGAATGAATGAGCTCCAAATGTAATCAAGTAGGTAACTGATGCTAAGAGTTGAGGTCGTCCCCTTCTGTCATCTCCCCTTTTTGCTCTGCAGTTGAAAAGTGAAGTCATATGCTAATAAGTCAGAAGAAAGTAGAGGTGAAGACAGCAAAGAAGAGTAGAAAAGGGCCACTGTGAGAATGCAAGTGACAGCCGACTAGCTAAAAGGAAACGGGAATTTAACTCGGCTTCTAGAGCTAAGAAAAAGTACAAAAATCAATCCTATCCATTTTATGTTAGTTCAATACTGTAAAAAAGAAAAACCAGACATAACAGGCACAGAACACAGTGTTTTCATTTGGCAGTTCACCTATTTCGAGCAGGAGATTTCCCAGCATCCTCTTGAACAGATACAAGTCTTGTTGAAAGAGCGGTGTTTGAAGAGTCTGGATGAATTAAACTAGAAAAAAAATAGGAATATACTGAGACGATTTAAGAGAGTTACAGGCAAATCCAATTTCAATAGAGTGCTGTAACATTTAAAAGCAGGTTATTTTTCTGCAATAATGAGCTTATGGGTCATTCTTATTTTCTTCTTTCAATTGATGTAGAAACAGGATAATTTTTGTCTCCAGGATAACAACATCAAAAGATCAATAAAGGAAGTTTATTAAGTGTGTATGTGTGAGGATGTGTGTGTATGTGTGTGTGTGCGTGCATGCTCAGTCATGTCTGACTCTTTGAGACCCTACGGACTACAGCCCAACAGGCTCCTCTGTCCATGAAATTTTCCAGGCAAGAATACTGGAGTGGGTTGCCACTTCCTACTCCAGAGAATCTTCCCGATCCAGCGGTCAAACTCGCGTCTCTTGCATCTCCTGCATTACAGGTAGATCCTTTTATCACCACACCACCTTTCAAGCCTGGAATCTTTGTGACCCCCTGGGCTGTAGCCCACCAGGCTCCTCTGTCCATGGAATTTCCCAGGCAAGAATACTGGAGTGAGTTGCCATTTCCTCTTAAAGGGGATTTTCCCAACCCAAGGATCAAACCCACATCTCCTGCATCTCCTACATTGCAAGCAGATGTATTCTTTGCCGCTGAGCCACAGGGAAGCCCTGGTTATTAAGTATAACAGATGGCAGTAAAACAATAAACCTGGCGGAATGAACAACTTATAGAACTCTTCAATCACATATACAAAACAGAAGTGCTCTGGGGTAGAAATCCTGAGTTCAAATATTTTATTCTTAGTCCCCAAACCAAGTGGAATAGCACTGCAGATATGTAAGTGACTATACCTTTGCCAGGCAAAATCATCCTCTAAAAATATGTTGCGGCTGGCTTTTCTACTCCCCACAGGTGTACGGGGTTCACTCGGATCAAGTACAGACACAGAGGAAGCGGAGTCTGAAAGAGCATTCAAGTCTTCACCAATGGAATTACTGTCTGTGGAATGAGCATAACTTAAGGCTATTTTTCTACAATATGTACAGGCTCGGAGGTCCCCTAGGAGGAAAAAAAAAAGAAGAAGAAGAAAACTTATTAGACGATAACTAACATATCTACTTACCAGAACCATTAAACCCTTGGCTTAATAGTTAATCTAATAACAGGGAACCATCTTCAAGTAAAGACTACCAAACAAGACCTCTTTTTAAAAGTGAAGTAACTTTGTTAACTCTGTTATATATTTTAAAACTAAAGGGGATGGTTTAAGAGGGAGGGGATATATGTCTACATATAATTGATTCACTTCATTGTACAGTAGGAACCAATATAACCTTCTAAAGCAACTGTACTTCAAGTTAAAAAAGAAAGAAAAGCAACAGGAAGAGCAAATATGTGGGTAAATAAGTATTTACCGTATAAAATAATAAAAAAAATTTTAAATAAAAACAAAAATAATGATAAATTCATCCAGCTACCCAAATTACTGCAAATATTTATAACAACTTAAGAAAATATGATTCAATGTACTAGAAAACTCCGCTAAAAGAGTATTTCTCAAGGTTATAGAAATGAAGTAAGGGACTCTATCAAAGACAGGAGGTTCAAGGAAAAAATTTTAGTTGAATACATTAAACCAACACAAATAGAAGGAACACTTTTTACCTTGGTAACAAGGAAGGAGGAAAATGTTATTTAGTTCTTTATGTGAAGTCATAAAGATTGACCTCCACAAGGGGGCACAGTTTCAAAAACTTTAAAAACAAACAAAACTGGCTTACAAACAGTAAGAAATATGGGTCGGGGGAAATATAAAGGAAATTCTCATGGTAAAAGTTAGGATGGAAATGAAATATTCTTGGGAAGATAATAAGGTTATTTAATAATTTTAAGTGTTTTTTTTCCCCTGGAAGCAGTCCTACCCAAATATAAGTTTCATTTCTACCCTGTTCTTCTGTAACAATTTTTTGTGTGATTCTATAGCATTTTAGCATACTAAAAAAGGAGGTAAGATAATTAAACTTTACTAATAACATGTTACATAACAATTCTACCTTCTTTTTACCATTAACAGTAGAAAACTGAAGTGACACGGAACAAAAGACTTCTAGAAGTCAACTGTACTGGGTTTTTATCATAATTACTATGAAGGATAATATATGGTCTTATTTTTTATTTTAAGACAACTATTTTATAGTACTCCATTTTATTAAATTATATATGTATTTTAAGCAAAATTAGATATCACTTGTTGGGTTACTCATTTCTAACACAATTCAACAGACAAATCTAAAGAAAAATGTCTCCAATCATGAACCACCACCAACCCCAAACCTCTTCCCCCCACCAAAAAAAACTGAACTCTAGCCCAGGATAAATAAGTGGAGGACATACCACCACTAGCTGACCAAGGCTGAATTTCGGAAAAGAGATAAAATTACTTCCTGCAGAAAAGTATTTAAGTTGCCACAACAAAGGCTTGGTTCTTACACTGTAAAGAAAATCTCCCTTAATCAGTCAGCTATTAGAATGAAAATGATCAGGTCAATTAAGGGAGCCAAGCTTGACCAGAAAAGTTTTCATTTCATGGAGAATCCTCACCAGCAAGGGCCTATAGAGCAGTAAAAAAAAAAAAAATTACATGAGGTGGTGAAAAGGCTGACAAGACACAGCCCCTCAGTTCACTGGAGACAACAGACACATACAATCCAAAAGTTGCAGGGCAGACCCAGAGACAACACTGCTACTACCATTAACAATAATAACATCCACTGATCTATTTCTACTTGCCTAAGTAGTCTAGGTATTCAGGGTCACAATATACCTTTGTGTTCAGAATCTATTATGCCAACTGCAATGGTCAATTTTATGTGTCAACTTGGCAAGACTGATGAGTTGGTCCAACAACAGTCCAGTTGTTTCCGTGAAGGGTTTTTTTTTAAGATGTGATTCACATTTACAATCTGTGACTTTAAGTAGATTACCCTCAATAATGTGGATGCATCTCATCCAATAATTTGAAGGCCTGTGGAATGCTCTAAAGGAAGGGATCCAAAGGCTTAGAGAGTCTGCTAAGAGCAGATTTACCAGGTAAGATCTGCTTACTTGCCCCAGGAGGACCCAGGGCACATACCTGTCACCCTGACTATGAGGGCACATAGTCACTATGACTATGTAAGGGAAGCACCGGCATCCCCTGTAGAGTTTTGTGGTCACCTCTCTCTGCAGGAATGATCATGGAACTGTTGGTGTTGAACTGGAAAACCTAAATGCATTGGGCCCACTGGATCCCAGGTTGGCAGGGGCAGGGTGGTGGCACTTAATCTCAAAAGACAAGGTTAGCAGGAACGGACATCAAAGTCAAAGTGGTAACCAGAACAGTATAACACATACAGAGATCTGTGACACCTCTGACCATGGTGTTCCTAAAGCAAACGGGCAGTCTTCTAAATTCTTACTGGATTTGTATAAGAAAAACCATTCTAGATCAAGACAATAAGAGTCTATCTTGAATCAAAATGAGTCATGACCCCTCAACAAATTCTCAGGCCCAGAGTCCTTTGAATGGACGCTGGGTCACCTTGAGGTAGGAATCCACTTCACTGCCAAAAAATATATACTGTTAATCTTCGTACGAGGTCTCCTCTGAGGACCTATAGCCTTTTACCAGAGTGACTGCATTGAGAAAAAGGTAATAATCAAACTTTTAGGGGATTGCTGGACTTTGGCTCTGAACTGACACTAATATTAAGAAACTGTTAAACTAAGAAAACTTAGTTTTCTTAACTAAGTTTTAACTTAGTTAAAACTAAGAAAACACTACTATGGTTTCAAGTCAGCAGGGGCTTACAGAGGTCATGACCCACAGAGTTTCAGCTCCAGTCCTTCTTATCGTGGGTTCAACAGGTCCCCGAAGCCAGCAGTGGTTATATCTCAGTTCTAAAATATGTAACTGGAATAGACATTCTCAGCAAATAGCAAAACCCCTACATTTGTTCCCTGACCTGTGGAGTAAGGGCAATTATGGTAGTTCTGGCCTCCAGAATGGTGAGACAACAAATTTCTGTTTATTCTAAGCCACTCAGTTTGTGGTATTTTGCTAAGAGAGCCCTAGGCAACTGAGACATCAACCACATTAAAAAGACAAGATTTTAACCAAAGAGTAATGGGAGCTCTGAAAGGGTATTAGGCAGGGGAAATACTTTGACATGATCAAACTGGCATTTAACAGGACACTGACTAGACTATGAAAAAAGAATCTGAAGTAGGGAAAAATTAAAGGTAAAAAAAACTTTAAAAGGCTGTAGACATAATTTGGATGAAAGATAATTGGGGTCTGAACTCTGAAGCAGTTTAGGTTTAAAAAGAAATTTATAAGGCCACAAGGAAGATTTACATGATAATAACAATAACATGAGAGAAATACTGAGAATGCTCTCTTTTTGGTAACTTCCGCACACCTTCCACTCCCTAATCACTACACACACCACTGCTTAATTTTCTTCTGCTTCAATAAATAATTTTCAATTTCTATATTACTAAAGTTCAGGAAAGAATATGAGTAAATGCAATTTGCTAGAGCATAGTGTTAAGGAATATATATCTGTATATATTTTGTATACATAAAATACAAAATTTGTATTTTGTAAAACAAAAACTCTCACGGTAACATAAACCACTCTAACCATCACTCTAACCATCCTGCCTAAAAAACATGAATGGTGCCGTGGTTTTTCACTACCATCTATGACACACAGTCTTTTATTCTTGTTATTTATGAACATCTCCATCTACTTTCTTATTGGACCACAAAGTCCTTTAGAGCAAAGTCGTGCTCCTTCGTGTTTGTTCTCCCGTCTCACACATAAAGTCCAAAATAAAAAATGACTTAACATGGGTCCCCTATTGTAACTATTTTATTGCTGTGACCTTTAAAAATTGTAAAGTTGTCAATAAAGCTCATTTACCTGTATAACCCATAAATTTTCCAGGGATTTCTTGATTGCAGCAACGACTGCAGAAAATCTGCCCACATAGCCGGCAGTGGTGTCTGCGCCTGAAAGTGGTAAACTTCTCATTACAGTCATAGCACTCTTTACACTGGCTATCTGGCATCCAGTATTGCTTCAGGTCACTATCCTGCAACAATAAAAATGTGTGAAGGCTTCCTGAAAACACTGATTTATCAAAATGCAAAGGCAAATACAGTGCTAGTCAAAATCCTAGAAAATTTCTTTTGCAGAAATTAACAAGCTATTTCTTAAAATTCACACGGGAATGAAAAAGTTCAAGAGGACCAACCAAAGCAATCTTAAAAGAAGAATAAGCTGAAGGTCTTACAATGTCTGTCATTTAGATTTATTCTAAACCTACAGTGATTTTAGACAAAGTATTAGTGTAAGGAAAAGTGGAGCTGTGCAAGGAAGAGAAGAGCCTGGCACACCCTCACACGAGTATGCAGACTTACGATAAAGTCTGTAATGCAATCAGTGAGGGACGGTCTTTAAAAAAAGACAATGGTACTGGGTCCAACTGGACATCCATGGGGGAAAAAAATGAATCTTGATCCATGTACCTTCACATTAATAATAAAGCTTCTTGAAGAAACCATGGAAGATAGTCTCCCATGGTTCATTTTTTACTGCCCCTGGTTAGAAAAACATTTTTTAAATAGAGCACAAAAAGCACAACCCATAAAAAGAAAAAAAATTTGATAAATTAAAATAGGAATATGAGTAAAAATCTGCTGTCTACAGTTGGAGTAAGCATTAACCGAACTTTCTTTCAAGTGGCATTGTACCATTTTCAGTGAGCACTGCATGATCCCCATATCAGTGCTTAATAAGTAATCTAAAGAATCTAGACAATACCTGGCTCTTCCCCTCCATGATTTCCTTGAGGCGTTTTAATACTGTGCTGAGGCTTCGAAGCTGAACAGCTGTGCGAGGGTCATGACCTCCAAAAGTAGGTTCTGCCTTCCTTCTGGTGTCTGAGTCAGGATTACAAAACAAAAAACTACTTTAATAGTATCAATGCAAAGTGCTTATAACTTTTAGCATATACTTACGTTCTCCCAGCCAGTGACACAGCCTGAGAGTTAAAACTAGTCTTTGTAAGGGTAAGAGGCAGTTGAAAGTGTAGAACACTGCTTCACAAGCAAATGAGGACTGAGACAGCACTGTCTGAGACCACTGATGATTCTGAGGCCTGGATGGGAGCATCACTTAACACGGCACAAAACTCATTAGTGATTTCTTGGGCCCTTCAGTCCTAAGTCAGAATAAATTTCTGCTAGAAATTTAGCAGAAGGAAAAGCAATACCAGTGAGTTATCCTAGCCTAGTCTCCACAGTAATCAGGTCAACAACAGGGCTGAACAGTTCGGCTAGGCCTACAGATCACAAAACCAAAGGCTTGTGTTGCAGATCCTTAGCAAAGAATTTAATAGCCAACCTCAGAGTCTGACAGACTTCAGAACACCCAGGATGGTAATTTATGCACAGACTTCCCTTCACCAATGTCCAAGAAGACTTCTCTTTACCAAAGAATTGCTAGAGCTCCAACCCTACCCTTCCCTGCCACCTCCCCTCCCCTCCAGCTCCAAGCAAGAAGGAATCACTTGCTCTTGAAACAGCTCTTGAAGCCAGTCCTGTCAATAAAAAAACAGGCCTACACTCGTTTTGTGGCCAGAATGGGCTATGCCCACCAAAGCTTTCATACGTTACTTCCTTATTTCAGAGCAAGATTACAACTGAGGTTTCTACCTATCCCTGACTCCAGCAGTTTCTAAACCTAAGGATGAAGTAGAGGTGGCCTGACAAAACGGATGAACGTTGCTATTAGCTTAATCTCATTAACCTCATAACCTATGGCAAGGCCCTCTCTAAATCTTTCCGAAACTCACTATTTGTTACATTTGCTTTAAATGTTCTTTGTTTTCGCTGAGTGGCAAAGAAAAGACTACAAAGAAATGGGAAGTTAATATTTAAATCTAAACTGATGAAGAATTTTCAACAATATTAATTATGGAAATAATTATTTAAATGGCACTTACGTTACAAAACTGAAAACTTTATCTTTCTATAAATACCTTAATCTCAGCAGATATGTTATTACTAGAATAAAAATGTATATGTATTAGAATGACAAAACTGCTCGATAAACCAACTGGTTTGTGATAAACCAACTCTCCATGATTTATGAACTACAAAAGGAAAGACAGATGAAGCTGTTAGACAGTAAAGCTGTGGTCCCATGCACGGGAAATAATTAACTGCAAAGCCCCTTGCGTATAGCCACTTAGGAGTATAAGAGAACACAAACAGCATCATCCATTGAAAAAGCAGGAGCAAGACTATTCCTAGAAACAACAGGTGATGGCTTCAACATGGATGAGGATGAAAGAAAAAGGAGAGAAAATCTGGTTCTGCCCTCAAGCAATCATCTCAGCTGCTCCTCTTGTAAAATGAATATTCTTAATAGAAAATCCAATGACTTCCCAGGGTCACAGAGCTGGTAAATTGTGGAATCACAGTCCTTTAATAGGAAAAGGAACTAGACTGGTCAAACAGTCCCAGGCTCGTCAAACTCAAATGCCTCGAGCAGCTAAGGAAGAATCAGAGAATCAAGGGGACAGAGAAAAGACTGTAAGGAATGCAGCAAACCAGACATCATAGGTTCTACCTAGCAATATTTAAATTCAAGCTTATCAAAATAACAAGACAACGTTTGGTAAGCTGTCAGTTTGTAACCGCTAAAAAACTAGATTCTAGTCTAACTCCTCAATTTTATAAACGAAGAAATCCTATGCTTAATTCAGTATAGGATATAGTCAGAAGAGTTCCCTTAACAAAGATAGGAGTGACACTCCGGACCGGGTTCAAGAGTTAAGGAGTTGTAAGATTCAAAGTCAAATTAGGGATAGTCTCTTCCTTCCATCCATGTGGAGTAAGGAACTCACTTCTCCCTCTCCCCCTTCCTTCCTTCTGATTCTTCCTACCCAACAGCTGACATAACCCAGGCTAGGGCCCTCTGCCCTGGGAAACCTGCAGAGGTGACGCACCCAGCTCTGCTCCAGTCCTCTGGGAAAAACTCTCCTTCTGCTCGGCTTCGCCTCCTCCTCTGACCTACTGGTAGCAGGTTCTGAACCAAGTCCCAACTAGCTATTAATAAAATCTGCTTCTGCTGACCACCATTACTTGTGCCTGCCTACTTGTCACTCGAAGACCTTGGGGAGAAGACTGGCCAGATAAGACAAGATCTGACGTTCACAGACACCTGATTTTCAATGCTGTACCCCTTTCCCACTCTTATGCCACCTCTCATTGCCCTTCCCCTACCACCTTGAGTCAGGCAAACCACTGCATTGAGGTGAATAATCTAACAGAAATAAAACATACAACAACTCACTTTATCTAGTCTCTTGATGCAGGCACTGATCCCAGTCTGTACTCAACAATGAAGGAGATGACGGGAGAGCAGACCAGGATGGAGAACAAACAGGTGGGAGGAGCTCAGTTCATCCAGCCACACTGACAGCTTGCACCCCGACAAGGACAGAAAGCCAAGAGCAAGTGGCAGCCCACTGATGGGACTGAGAGACTTCTGCAGCCAGCGGCATGCAAGGCACATTACACGCCACCCCAGGAACAGATGCGGCAGTCACAAAGTTCAAACTAACCTGAGTTCTCCTGGGGGTGTTGCAAACTGTCCTCTGCTGAAACCCAAGCAAGTAATTAATCAAAAAAAAACAGTCAAGAGATTTCTGCCTTGCCCAAATTAAAGTTGACTGAAATGTTTAAGAACTCTTGTTTGCTAGGTCACTTCAGTCATGTCCAACTCTTTGCAACCCTATGGAGGGTAGCCCACCAGGATTCCCTGGAGATCCCCCTGTTGCTGGGATTCTCCAGGCAAGAATACTGGAGTGGGTTGCCATGTCCTTCTCCAGGGGATCTTCCCAACCCAGGGATCTATCCCATGTTTCTTATGTCTCCTACATTGGTAGGCAGGTTCTTTACAACAAGCACCACTTGGAAAGCCCAAATTAAAGTTTAATGAAATGTTTTAAGAACTTCTGTTTAGGTATCAACAAATTATTTCACTATGCAGGTAAGTTTCATTAATTCTCAAGAGTACCTGACTATTCCAAATAGCAAAAAAGTTAAGTCAATAAACAACCTTGGAAACACAATGACTGGGAAACGTCTAATACTCAGAAAGGAATGAAATGCGAACAGTATCATACCTAACACTGAAGATCGACGCTGGAACTCCTCATTAAGCTGCTTTTTATAAGGTGTAGGTGATCTCACAGATTGTGTCCTTGAAGGGAGCTGAGGGCTGGTCCAACTCCCACTCAGAGACTGTTGCTCTCCCTGGACCCCTTCTCCTCTCTCTGTAGCAAAGGAAAGCTTGGAATTATTGGAAAAACTAAGACTCAAGAGCTCAGCAAAAAAAAGGAAATAGATGAGATTTTTCAGGAAAGAATGTATACTTGTATCACATATCTAAGTAAAACTCAGGGTTAAAAAATTCAAAACAGGTGGCAAAATTACAGGCCAATAATTACATCCTTGGTATATATGACCTTCAGTTTGTTTTACTTTTCACTAGAAATTTCTTGAGCATATTAATGGAAATAGAATGCAAGCTTCACATGAAGGTTGGGATCTTTTGTTATTCTATTTTATTTATGGGATAGATTCCTTGACTATTAACCTAGTACCCAGTGGACAGCAGGTGCTCAATAAACATTTGCTAAATAAAAGTGAGTGAGTAAGTGAAGTTGCTCAGTTATATCCAACTCTTTGCAACCCCATGGACTGTAACCTATCAGGCTCCTCCATCCATGGGATTTTCCAGGCAAGAATACTGGAGTGGGTTGCCATTTCCTTCTCCAGGAGATCTTCCCCACCCAGGGATCGAACCCGGGTCTCCCACATTGTAGACAGACGCTTTACCATCTGAGCCACCAGGGAAGTCTAAATTTAAAGACTACTGTAACTGTAATGTAACCTAGACAGGATCCTGGAACACAAAAAGGACATTAGGTAGAAATTGGAGAAATATGAATAAAATACATACTTCAGTGAGTAATACTGTGTTAATAATGGCTCACTGATTATAATAAACGTACTCTACCAATGTAAGATGTCAATAACAGGGAAAACTGGGTGTAGGGATATATGAGAAATTTCTGTATTATTTTTCTAATTTTTCCATAAATTCAGAATTATTCAAAATAAGGCTGTTGAGGTTTCTTAAAAAAAAAAAAAGATTACTTTTTTCAAAATGATGGACTAATGGGAGGTTTTACAAGAGCTTTAAACATGCCTGCTAATAAAAGTCAGTTAATACTATTAAAATTTCCACTGAGTTAATCTATTAACCCATAAACCCCTTTCAAAGAGAGGGATTACTTTCTAACACATTTCAAACAATACTGTCAAATATAAAGCAAAAGATGTAGACCATGTGTTTTAACTCCTCTAATGAGTAAAAAACATATTTCTTAAAAAGAGTTCATTTTTAAAACATATTTTCATTTGATATCATTAAATGTATTAAACAGATTAACAACAAGCCTGCTGACAGCTTTTAATTTTTGAAAAATATGAACCCTTCCTCCCATGTGCTGATTCTTTAGTTTCAATGCTTTCATTAAAATCTTTTGGCTATTAACCTCTAAAAGAACAAAGTCCATTCTATGGACTTCAGAATACAGATATATTAACAAAGGAAAAAAAAAATGATGATACTAACTTTAACCTCCTTTTAACATTTAGTTTTCAATTCCAACTTCCCATTCCAATAATTACTAAGATTAAAGAGAAAACTCTAGCTTTCTTTTCTTACGCAGTTAAACCCATGGATCTATGATGAAGGCTACTTCCTAGTTAATATTCACTTTCTTGTAAAGACACAGCATGAAAGTTGAACAAGAGAATTTCAGAGAATCAAGATAGCAGGGTGTCTGACCTTTAAAAGGTCTTACCTTTGTTAAATCGAAAGAGATTGACAAAAGAACTATACGCTGATTTAAAAGCAGGCTCGTCCTGATCAGGAGTCAGAGGTTTAAAGTGTGTGAGATGAGAAGGACTGGTAGGAGACCGAAGTAAGTCATTAGCGGAGTCCAATGTTGGAGAAGTCTTATCATCTGTGGCCATTTCATGAGTCTAATAAACAAAAGAAATAAGCAAAAGTAAGTTCCTCAGGAAGCCCAAAGGCTGATTCCAAACAGTGCCTAAATGTCTAGAAATCTAACTTCAAAAACTCACACCTAAGAAAACCAGAGTACTTAAGTCTACTTCAGCATACATTCCAAATCAATACTTGAAAACGCTGCAGTCTAGATCATAAGGAAGAGTTTCAGTTATCTAAAATAGGAACGTTTACAGTCAATCTCACTTTCAAAATTAATATATTTTTAGGTATTTATATTTTATGTATATATGTATTTGTAGTTTCAAACAAAAAAAAAACCAAAAGCATTAAAAATTTGAAGGCAAGGAAAAAATGTGAACAGGCAAAAAGGAAAAAAAAGATTTTTCACTTTATTTATATATTTTTCATTCTAAGATTTTTTTCCTTGAAAAAGAAATAGCTCTTTAAAGTTGGGGAGATGGGGGGGAACTGGTTTTACAAAAGCATACAAATTCTTCAAAGCTTTATTTTACTTATCCCAGTGTTTGCTTTTTTAAAAAATATTAAAAAATAAACACTTCCAAGAACGGAAAATAAAAGTCATTCCTTAATGACATTTCTATATACCTTCAAAAGTTAACTCAAACTATGTCTCATCAGCTATGAGAACGATCTAAACCAACAAGCTGATCCCCATTACATGTCCTCCTAGGTACAGGAGCCTGGTTTTTCTCCTTAAATCTAAACTCATATAGACATTAAAATGAAGATCTTAAAGTCCTTTTTTTTCTAAATAACCAAAAATCATAATTCAACCAAAGGACTGCCACCAACACCCTCAGATGCAGGTAACAGAAAAGCACAGATGTCTATTTTCTGCCATATTGATTAATACTTCAAATAAAAGAGAAGACCATGAACTATGCATAATTCATTAAAATGCTATAGCTTGGAAACTTATATTTACAAGGACACTACACTCTTATAAAATGCTCTTCACTTTCAAAATCCTACCTACCATCTCATTTCATTTCTATAAATTCCTGGAACACAGAATTGGCCTTATTACTACATTTTATCTCTGAGGCAACCAACGTACACTGACCCCAAAACAACTTTCTCAAGGGTCACATAGCTATTCAGTGGTGCAACTGTAACGAGACGCCAAGTTTCACTCCAGAATTACTTTCTTCCCCCCGAGGGCAGCATTTTTTATCTAATTATTTTCTCTTTTAATTAAAGAGGTATTTCAAGTTTGCAATGGTTTTGGAGGCATACACTCTTGGCTTCAAATTCTGACTATGAAATTTCTCAGCTGAGTAAACCCACGTAAGAGCCCTGTGAGATATATATTACCATCCTCATTTCACATAGCGGAAACTGAGGCATACTGTGACTAAGTGGGATAGTGTATATGAAGCACTTTTAGCAGACTGCTTGCCCATAAAAGGCACAGAATTCATCTTTAAGCAAAATTATTTTGTAGCTCTTCACAGACCAGCTCTTCTGGTCTATTTGAATTCTAACTGTTCAGGATGTTGCCTGATTAATAATTTAATTAGTTGTTCATTAAACAAAAAAAAAAAGACCACTGACAAAAAGAATTTTGGCAAAAAACATTTATTGGAATGGGGTAGGGGGAGGAAAAAGAGGAAGGAGAAGAGGAAGGGACAGGAGGAGAAGAGTGAGGAAGGAAGGAGGGAAAGGACACGTCCTTCTAAAGTGTCCTGACAACCCACACTCCTGCAGAAAGGGTTGGGAAATTAGCTGATGATTGACTGACCAAGTGTAAACTCAAGAAAGTAAAAAGAGAGGTCTGGAGAGAAAGAATACTGTGACAGCAATAACAACCTGAAGGCCTCAGAGAACATCCTACACTCTGCTCTGACACAAGGAACATGAGCAGAGTAAAGCAACCTTCCTGGAGAGTCTCAGCATCACGCCTAAGAGTCACCCACATACAAACTTTTATTATACTTAGGAGATGTGAGGATAAAAATTACCATGAAGACACTGACCAATGTAGTCTCTAAAAGAATACAATCATGCAGAGTTAATCATAAAAATTATATACTGATATCACGACCATGAAAACTACCTTACAACTCTTTCTCTGGTAGCTTAATAACTGTCTGTGACATAAACTAGGATTCTTTCCTATCTGAGAGGTAACTAGATATATTCACTTACTCATTCAAAGACCTCTCTCATGGATCACCAACACATTGCCTCTTCTCCTTTGCAGACTTGCATATGCAGATCCACTAAGCACTATCAAAAGGCTTGTCAGGAATTGACATTTGGAAAATAAGCCTACTCCACCAGTCAAATCAAAATTTTAGCAGACAGAAAAACCCAAGTATCAGTTCAGTCATTTCTAAGTACAGTGTTTTAAAAAAAACAAAAAGATACTCAAAATATATAACAATGCAGGAGAGTAGAACACTAGAAATGTTTGTTTCCACCTCCAAAGATTTTTTTTTGTTCAATTTTTGACTGACATACCAACAGACAGAGGCTTTCTAAAGGAAAACCACATTATCCATATTCTTCTTCCCAGAAAGAAGAAAAAGAGGACATGGGAGAGTAGTCTTGCTCTTCAACAGAAACTTAATCTGCCCACCTCTGTCACAAACTCGAATCCAACAGAAAGAAATCAAGAATATTTTTTGTAAGAATTCTGACAGTGGGAGTTTGGGAGTGCTAGAAAACAAGATTCAAATAAATTAGAAACAAAACACTACAATATAACAAGACCACCTCTCCTGTCAATATCGAAGTAATTTTACAAGAATGTGCACTGAATCAGTACAGGATAATTTAATAAATACACTCAGCAGAAAAACAGAAAGGACATACGGAATTCTAGTATTTCTCATAGTTCTTGAATGTCTTAATAATAAAGACGCCAAATTTCCTAAAAATATTCCATTCTCATCCGCTCGTTGGGAACGTTGTAGGCAAGGGGAAAATACTAACTGGGCAATCAGGTCTTCTCTTCAAGAGCCTGACACAGGTACAAACGGAAAGGTCTCAAAGAGCAAAGACAAGCACTATAGGAGCTAAATACTTATCTGAAACCTCACTACTGGTATCGTTTCTATAGATTAGGAACTTTCTTGTCTAGTCAACGTATGCACCTCTGAAACACAGGCTCAGAGCTAACCCATCAGAGAAAGGAGGAACTGGACTAGGGACCTCTGAAATAAGTTCAAGTACACGGGACAAGACAGGAGCGAGGGAACTTCAAATGCTTCCCAGGAAACCTCTTCAAGACAGTCCCAGCCGGATCCCTTCCCACTCGCTAAACAAGGGGCGGCCGGGGAATCGGGGAAGTCGCCTGAACTGGAGCACGGGTTCTCTGCCCTTCCTTACCCGGCCTCCGCCGCAGACCGGCGTCAGCCCTAGTTGTGGAGTCCAACTGCCGCCTTCACTTCAGAGTTCCCCTCCGCTCCGGCCACAGAGCTTCCTAAACCTGCCTTCTTCCCCACACTTAGGCCCAACCGGCCGCGCGCCAAGTTCCTCCCTTACCTGCGCCTCCCGCCCCAGCCCCGCGGGCCACCCTCCACCCCAGCCTCGGGTTCACCCGGTCCAGGCGCAGGAAAGCGGTTTACGAGCCTAGCTCCGCGGTACTCAGGCCGCCGGCGGTTGCGGCAGGAAGCAAAGCTGCTTACATGGTTGCGGCGGCTTCTCGCTTCCCCCCAAGGCTCCGCCCCCTGTTCCTCCTCCCCTCCAATCCGCAACTCTTCGGGCGGCGACTCCGCCCTCCGTGCCCCGCCCTCACGACGTTGGGATCAGACGCTCAGGCAGAAGGAATCCAGCCCAGATAAAGTCGTGCTCGACACCTTGACCGAGATTAAGCCGCTTGTCTTCCTAGAGGAAGCCACGGAGACTGCGCGCGTGAGCATCACGCGTGCCGGGTCACCAGACGGGTGCAGGCAGGACTGTGGTTACCGTATGTTTTCGATAATATGGGCACTCTTACGACAGAGGATGAGATGGTTGGTTGGCATCACCGACTCAATGGACATGAGTTTGAGTAAACTCCGGGAGTTGGTGATGGACTGGGAAGCCTGGCGTGCTGCAGTCTATGGGCTCGCAAAGAATGGGACACGACTGAGCGACTGAACTGAACTGAACTGAATGTTACCGCGCTCAGCTTTCTTACGGACTGACACTTGTGCCTAGAGCGAACACTGTTATCAGACTTGAGAGATGCTGCTAGATGGTCACGTGATCTTAAACAAATTACCAATTTCTTCAGACTCTAGACCTCTTATCTGTAAAGTGGGGCTAATGATAGTAGCCTTCACAGATAATTTTGTGAAGGTTAGGTAAAACATTGTACGTAGAGCGTTCGCACAATGTGTCTAATCCAGTGGTGTCAGCGCTATAGCTAATTCTTTCATTCAAGTTTTGTGGTGCAAAGACTGGTGCACATAAAGTTACCAAACCCCGACTTGCTCAGCCTGGCTCGCATTACCCATCATTTTGTCCTGCTGATAGGATGTGGGACTTGACAGGAGGAGTCAGAAGGGAAATGAACCCCAAAGTGAGGTGCTATTTTAATTAAATTCTGCAGGCCTATTTCCCCCAAGAGTTTTGGCAAATTCTCACCCAATTTTCCTTGAGTTGGATCTTTGCAGCCACTGGACAGTAGCGTGGAAATCTGGTAGCGGTATAAATCTGTTACCATCCTCAGCTGAGCGCCTCAGCAATCACCCTAGGAATTGATAGTCAACTTCCTCTTCCATTCCTCACTCCTGCAATAGCCACCACCACCACCATGCCCCTACCCCCGTTATATTATTCTCAGCAAGAGATCTTATTCTACCTGAGTGGAATAGCCTGAGCTATTCAGTGCAATCCCTAACTACCTAACCACCCCTACCACATTTACCTGCATCCACATCCACCCTTACCTCTTTCCAGGTGGTGCAGCAGTAAGGAATCCACCTGCCAATGCAGGAGACAGGGTTTGATCTCTGGGTCAGGAAGATCCCCTGGAGAAGGAAATGACAAC